GTAACCGCGAAAGTCGAATGGAAGATAGAAGGACTTGCAGTTCTTTCTCGGAGACGGTATTATTGACTCATTTTTCGGAACTATAGCAGAACAAAAGCCATCAACAGTGATATATATCCGGGATAAAAGTGCTTACTTTTTTTCCACGGGAAAAAAGTAATTTATGGAAAGTGACATTTTATAACCTGCCAACAGAGATGAAATGCCAAACTTTTTTCCCGTCACAGAAAAAATACATTTCTGATGCTAAACTTATTGATTTAACAATGAATCACAAGAATAACATCCAAACAGATTTGACTAAGAACATGGATCACACAGTTTTTTTGTATCTTGAGCAGAAAGTCTAAAACTGCGTCAGTCAGTTAAGCAGCGATAGTGTCAGAGAGACAGTTATATACCGCGCGATTTAAATCGTTTTACATAAATAGTAGTTATTAGTTCGAAATAAATTAGTGTTTCTTTAGTTTAAATAAATCAGTTCGAAAATAAATAGTGTCGTAACAATTGGTGTCAGAAGTGTGGGATATTCCAGTGTGAACTGAACAGACCGTTGCAATGAAGAAACTACACGAGTTGAAAGTGGTGGACTTGAAACGCAAGTTGGAGGAGAGAGATCTCGACACAACAGGGATCAAGGCTACACTTCAGCATCGTCTCGAAGAGTATATGGTGAGCGTAGGTCAAGATCCAGAGACGTTCACCTTCGAGGAACCAGCGTCAGCGGAATCGATGTTGGCTGGGATCTTGGCACAGATTTCGGCTCAGCAAGATCAGATCGCCTCTCAGATCTCAGCTCAACGGCAGGAGGTATTGGCTCAGATAACAGCTCAAGTCGCGACTCAGATAGAAGATCTGAAGCTAGAACTGCAGCTCGAAATAGATGAACTGAAGTTACAATCTCGCAGGAGAGCTGCGATGGAAGAGTCAGTGGTTACTACCAATCGAGTGAAGCCGCCTACATTCGATGGAAAAACATCGTGGCCAAACTACCTGAAGCAATTCGAAGCAGCTTCCAAAGCCAATGGGTGGACATCAGAAGACAAAGTGGTAGCTCTCACAGTAGCTCTACGGGGTGATGCACTAAACATCTTGCAAGCCATTCCGGAAGATAAATCCGATAACTACGATTATCTCATCGAACGCCTCAACATGCGCTATGGTCAAAAACATCTACAGCAAGTGTTACGATCACAAATGAAGAACCGTCGACAGGGAGACAATGAGAGCCTACAGGAATTTGAAATGGAAGTAGCTCGGTTGGTTCGGCCTACCCATCAGCTCCTGAGTTTCTGATACACTCTGTCTTGCTGTCCAAACGTTCCTGGATGGATTGCGATATGGAAATGCGGAAAGCGGTTCGGTTGACTCGACCTAAAGACTCTCCCAGTGCTCTGGCAGCTGCGCTAGATATCGAGGCCGCGATAGAAGCTACACGAGAAGCAACAAAATTCCAAGCCGTCGATGACAGCACGAACATAGCAGACAATCCCAGGCAAGATCCAACTGAAGACCTTATGAACGTCATCAAGGGCCTCTTGGATGAGAAGAAACCAGTTCGAGCAGCTGCAGAAAAACTAGAGCAGGATGATCCAAAAAGACCAGTTTACCGAGTGGGGACGAGCCATAAGAATGCAGATGCATTGTCCAGAAGGCCATGTCCACCTGAGCACAGATTAATAAACCTTATCGCATTGTATGCGCTTGGAGGATAAGGAAGCAAGCCTCTCCAAAACCATACCGTTGTCAATGAAGATCGGTTACCTGCAGCAATCAAGCAAGAGCAAGAAAAGGACCCAGAACTTCGGAAGCTTCGAGAATGGAAGAAAGTGAATCGCCGCCCTTCCCGGCAAGAAGTAGCACCATCTTCACAGACTTTGAAGGCGTACTGGAGTCAGTGGGACTCCTTGGTATTAGAAGATCACCTGCTCAAGAGGAATCTCGAGAGCAATGATGGGTCGGATAATCGGATGCAGTTGGTCATTCCTAGAAGCCGAGTGTCGGAAGTACTCGGATATGTACATGATGGATCTTCAGGGGGACATCTAGGATTAAAGAAGACACTGCAGCGGGTACGAGAGCGGTTCTACTGGGTGAACTGCAGTGACGACGTCAGGGAGTGGTGCCGTAAATGCACCGTGTGCTTTGCCAGCAATGGGCCTCATCGTAAACCAAGGGCACCCATGAGACAGTACAATGTTGGAAGCCCTTTCGAGAGGATTGCCATGGATGTTGCGGGGCCGTTTCCAGTGACTGATAATGTAAATAAATACATCCTTGTCTGCATGGACTACTTCACCAAGTGGGTAGAAGCGTATGTTTCCAGTGACTGATAATGTAAATAAATACATCCTTGTCTGCATGGACTACTTCACCAGGAGGCCGTAACTGTCGCCGATGTCCTAATGAATCAACTCATCAGTCGTTTTGGGGTGCCATTGGAACTTCACTCTGATCAGGGCCGGAACTCTGAGAGTGAAGTGTTTAAGAAGATGAGCGAGAAGTTAGGAATCAAGAAAACAAGAACAACTCCATTGCATCCACAGTCAGATGGCATGGTGGAGCGAATGAACCGAACCATAGGGAGGTATCTCTGCAAAGTCGTAGATCAACACCAACAAGACTGGGATCAACATCTTCCTTTCTTCTTGATGGCCTACAGATCTGCAGTATGTACAGGAATCTACAGGACAGACTCCGGCGAAGGTTCTATTTGGACGAGAGATGAGGCTTCCATATGTGACTTGGTCTTCGGATGTAGACCTGGTGAGGACATAGTGGGGGGAGATTACGTTACGAATCTGATGAAAAAGATGAACGATATTCACGAATTGGTTCGTTCTAATCTGAAAATCGCCAGCGATCGCATGAAAGACCGATACATCAGAGCTGGGGATGCAGGATACGCAGAAGGAGACCTGGTGTGGTTGTACAATCCACAAAGGAAACAAGATATTTGTCCAAAACTACAGAAATCTTGGGAAGGACCTTATACCGTCAAGAAGAAGATCAACGATGTCATCTACCGCATCAGTAAAGAACCCAGTGGCAAACCAAAAGTCGTTCATTTCAACAGACTAGCACCATTCGAGGGAACACAAGATCAACAAGTTCAACAAATTTGTCCGGAACAAAAGGAACTTACATGCGAAGAATTAATTGGGACATACAGTGGTTCATCAAAAGCAAGGTTTGGCGTCACCAAGGAAGAGCACCGCGACCTTTTTGCCACTCCTGTAGAATACGCACTAGCTCACCGCATCGCCAAGGATCTTCAGATGTCTCAAGGAATAGCCAACAAGTTCATGAGGAAATTCGGAAGGATAGAGGAGCTACATCAACAGGATCCCTCCGTCGGTCGAGCACTAGGAATAGAAGATATCAGCCCTCATGGAAAAAGGTCTCTGTTTTATCTTATAACGAAAGAAAGATCTTCTGAGAAACCCACTTACAAAGACCTCTGGGAGACACTAGTCGACTTGCGAAGCGCCATTGTCGATGTAACAGGGTGATTTTATGGTTCTCGCAGATATATAGTAAATCAGACTCAAATCTTGATCTGGGTATAATTCCTTTATAATCAACGGATGGCTAACAACTAACAAAGTCGAGTATCGAACAAACTAAAAGAATGAATCATAATTACTCAACTTGTTCAGGATGATAATTATATCTACAAGGCAAATTCCTGGCAAGATCACTTACCTAACACCAGGCAAACGAATATCTCCTAGATGGTATATCATCCATGATCACTCTCAAAACCACAAGGCTGTTAGCTTTATCTTTTACTGACCGAACGCAGATAGAAGCTTCGAAGGAAATTTTACAAAAAGTCTGAACAGCGCAAAAAACTATACGGCGACACACATTGTTGAATTTGATGTAAAAGTGAATCACGGCGACACCTTTGGTCATTTAATTGAAGGAATAACTTTGACCATGGTAGATTGCTACATCGAGAAGGACATACAGAAGATAGCTGTTTTAAAGCTGGGGTGTGGTCTGGATGGCTTGAATTGGAGAATTGTAAGGAACATGCTGGAGGTTGTATTTAGATTCACCGGAGTTGAAATTCTGGTATGCTGCTGGAACTCCAAAGGAACTCCGAGAGAGAAGACAGTGCCATGCTATTTCTACCATACTGCACGTTGTAAAAATAAAACCAGTTGTCCCTATCTTCATAACGATCAGAGTGCATTCCAGGAGGAATGCGTTTTAAGGAGGGGGCAGTGTAATGATATTCCCCTTAGAGGGGCTCTAGAAACATCAGCAGAAAGGCAGGAGTACAACGATCATCCTGTAACACGCATCTCAGATTGTTCTCCAACCTCTCAATGATTCCTACATGCACCAGCATATTTCCGAACACTCAATATATGCCGCGGTGACAAATAACGTGTCAGAAGATTCTGGAATGTTCTGGAAACAATCGATGGAACAATTAGAGAGAGAGAGAGGCATTGTTCTAAGAAGATTCTAGAACAAAAAGAAGGAGACGGAAGATCAAGCGAGAACGTTCTCGAACCAAAGCCTACCAATGGATCTTATATATAAGACGGCCGAACAACTGCGTCAGTCAGTTAAGCAGCGAGTGTCAGAGAGACAGTTATATACCGCGCGATATAAATCGTTTTACATAAATAGTAGTTATAAGTTCGATATAAATTAGTGTTTCTTTAGTTTAAATAAATCAGTTCGAAAATAAATAGTGTCGTGTTCGCTTCTGCACCCGAATAACGTAACAATACAATGCACGAAGTATGAACGTTTTAGTTCGCGCACTGCTTTCGCACATGGTGTCATGGTAACGTAGGAAACTGAAAAAAAGTGTCACTTCGCAAAATCAATGCGCGAACCTTGTTATTTTGACGTTTGTAGAAAAAATTATTTTGTTTATCAAATAGTTCAGCTTTTTTCCTAAAATTTTCTGGTACGGTCCGGTCGACCCTGCCGTCTCTGACGAGCCGTCACTGGTAATTTGGGAAATAAAACATTAAATTCTAAGTAGGTTTTCATTTATTCCGAATGGCTTTTCATACATAAAAAAAATGGTACATACATAATAATATAAAGTTTACAAGATTAATATAATTACATTTTTAGAACTGCTCTTTTCCTAAATTTCATGTTCATTTCCTAAAAAAAAATCAGAACAATCTTCCTATACCAACAATTCCCTAGCAGAAACAATAATAATGTTACTAAATATAGACCAATTATAATTTTGTACCTATTCAATTCAGTTATGCAGGCAGCGGAATCTCTTTTTTTCTATAACATGACCCAAATTCCCATAATTGTTTTAACAAGAAGCTATGCGAATGTCAATACCTACTAATTACCTATTCATTTCGTCTTTTTTAGTATAAAAAACGCCAACTACTCATGGTATTAAAATGCTTCCTTTCCCATAATAAAACATTCAGATACTCTTTCCAGTTCATTAAACTAAGATATCATTAACAAGCAACATGACAAATTTAAACGATTAGCCATTCTTATACATTTCTCCTAATATACCCAAAACAACAAATACAGAGAGGGGGCTAAAATTCACAATATTTTAGTCAAAAATTGAAAATAAACACAGCAAACGATATTAAAACATTCACTTGTGAGTATTTTTTAGTTAATATTCAATGAAGTTACCACCAATCAATGAAAGAACTCACAACTTCACTTGTTTTTGGTGAATATGTTTCATACAAAACATCTTAAAATTACAAAATACAATATTCAATTTGAATTTTTCAAGAAAACAAAGAAAATCCAGCTATGAACATCCTACACATCCTACTGAAATGTTTCTTCGATATTATTTCATAACCCAAAAGGAGAAAAAGTAATGAGGATCGATTGTTCCAATTGATATCCTCATTATTTAAAGCATGCCATTTCAACTCCACAATGTTCACCTATAATAACTGCTCAAAGCTCAAAGTATTTTACATCAATAATTCCGATCGAAGACAATTATTGTGAAAGATATTGCCTGCTCTAAGGATTAATTTTGATTTCATGAGGAATTTTCTCGATATTCCATTTCTTATTCTTCAGCGGTAATATGGCAAGATCTGATTTATGAGTGAGTATTCTTTTCAATTTAATTTCATCAGTTTGGTTTGAATATTTCAAATTTGTATTTGGAGATTTATTATCATTATCTTCAACAGGTTTCATGTTAGGGGTAGAAGAAAAAACATGTTTACTATAACAGGATGTCGCAAATTTACATAATTAATAATATTCGCGCCTGAAAAAATACAAGTATCTCTTGAAGTACAGGGTGATTCACCATGAATGTCCCTCCTCTAGCGCACTTATTTTTGAACCGATTTGAAAATTTGAAGAATCATCTAAAATGATTTTTCAGAATTTTTTTCCCGTTGCTTCAGAAAATACAGGGTGCTCGAAACAAACGATCTACAGAGTACTACTTCCTAAAGAGCTGATTTCATCAATACATCACACTTGGTCAAAACGGCTTTGATGTCCCTATCTCAACTTTTGATTTATTATCTACTGACATTTAATTGGAACATATACAGTGTGGTTCAAGATCACCCTGTATCTGTTCCAATTATCAAATGTCAGTAGATAGTAAATCAATAGTTAAGATACGGACATGAAAGCCGTTTTGACTGATAATGAATAGTTTCGTCTCAGAAAAATTCTGAAGTTGAAAAATCTCGATTTTGAACACCCTATATCTCTGTAATCATTTTCGCTAGACCCCAAGTGTGATACATTGATGAAACCAGCTCTTCAGGGAGAATCTGAAAATACAACGAAAAAAAGGTTGTCCCATCTAAAAAAATTCGAATAGTACCCTGTAGATCGTTTGTTCCGAGCACCTTGTATTTTCTGATGTAGCGGAAAAATACTCTATCAAAAATCATTTGAGAAGATATTTAAAATTTTGCAATCGGTTCAAAAATAACTGAGCTAGAGGGAGTTGGGGACATTTATGGTGAATCACCCTGTACTATTAGAGTTTTCTAGAGAGTATAAGGACTCGTTCAGTTTTAGACGGGTCCCGAGGCCTCATTGGCATATTTCCATGAAAAAAAAAAAAAACATGAATTACTGATGGTGTTTCGTTTCAATTGAGACATCCTGTTTGTATTTGAAGGGGAGATTGTATTTGATGATTTTATCAACAAAATATGAGAACTCGAATATTTAGGATTGAAACTGTGAATATCCTGAATTGTTTAAATGATTTTTGCAGAAGATATCTCAAAAGATATTTTCATTATAAAACAGGGTCGTAAATAGAGTGAAAAATTGTAGTAATCTCGACAATCAATAAGTAAACGTTGAGGTGAACAACAAACGTATTTGACTAACCACGCGAAGTAGCGATATACAAATTTTCAAAACAAATTTTTTTCACACATTTTGAAAAGTGAATTCTGATTCCATTTCATTAATTAAAATCATTAACTAGTTATTCCTTGTCGCTAGATATTTATATACAGTGTCCTTCATAAAGTCGGCATCATATGGAAACTCTCAATCATAATTCATTTCAAAATTCGATCAGGGAATTCTGAATCTTGAACCAGCCTGGTGGTTCAAATTAAAGCATGCATATTGTCTAGCATTCAAAAGCGAAATTTATTTAAATGGGTACTAAAATGATTATTCCAGATTTTTGGGGATTTTCTCTCCTCGTTTCTATAAAATAAAAATATGAATAATATTTCAATATACATGTAGTAAGGAAAAATCAGATGATTTGCCCCAAAATGTCAATGTGTCCAAAGAATTTTCCTATCAGAGAGCCTAAAAGAAAAATTTACTAGCTTGTCAGTGACAATTTGTATTGAAAAAAGTTTGGAGAAGAGAAGAGAAATAAAGGTACTTATATGGGAAAAAAATAAAATTTTTTCTTAGCTTTGGACGTTTTGGGAACGAATCTGCCCTCGTTTTCAACATAAAAAATGGATTTTTTGTGTCGCAAAAATCCATGTTGAAGATACTTCTACACACGTTTTCGTGGTTCAAACCGTTTATTTAGAAGTTTTTGAACAGGAATGGACCATATTGATTGCTGACGCCATAACTTACATAAAAAATGCTTGATTTCAAATTGTTTTGCACACGGTTCAAGAAAAATCACCTTAAATACAAAATGAAACGAGGACAATAAAAAATGTTGGTTTCAAATTTTACGTCTGTACTGTATATTATCCAACTTCCCTCTAAGTAGTATTCCCAATCCAACATAATGATGATTTAATTCAATAGGATTAACATCAAGAGGTTTATGAATAGAGAAGATCAGAGAATTCAAATTATTTCTGGGGATTTTCGATCAGAATTATTCTGGAATCGCCATTGACGCAAAACACCTAATGTATATTTTTTCAAAAAGTTACTAGAAATTCATTCAAAATACAGCGTGTGCAATTTCAACTCATAACACCCTCCCAATTTGCAATCCATTGACCAATTTTCAGAAACAAAAATTCGATAATACAGCAGTACATGAGCTCTTTCCAAAAATGTAGTCAAATCTGCCTGAATTAAATAGGCTTATTCACTTTTTCGACAAAAAATTGCTTGATAGTCGTTTTTGGAATTTTAAGTACTATATTATTGAATTATAGTTTTTGAAGAAGGGTCGACGGATTCCAAATTAGGGGGGCGTTGCAAGTTGAAATCACACACATTGTACTTATGTATTTTTTATCCGGTGTCATTCTGTATAGTATTTTTCTCTAACAGGATTTTTCACAGTTGCCACAATAGTAATGCAATACAAAAAAATGAACTACTTACCAGATGAAGTGGGACAGCCAAAAAATTGTCTAATTTTGATAAGCTATAACTCGAAAATTTCTTGGCCGATATTGGATTTTCAAGCAAAGGTAGAAAGCGTCATCCTTGGGCTATGCATCATTGGCGTCGGGTTTTTATTTTTGCGATTCGTTCTCTATTTACAGAGTGTGAATTAAGAGCCGGAAAAATTTCGAATGTTTGACCAATAATTTGGGAAATGTGGGAGACCCTAGAATTCTTTTTCAGATGTTGGGTGAATGGTTGGTCCGATACCTCGAGACGTCTTTGAAATTTTTTGGATTAATTGCGTTGCTATAGAAAAATCGCCATTTTATGAAATTTCATTTTTAATTTGAAAAATGGTCTCTTTTAGTTAAACAACAACAGCCAACATCTAAACTGGCGCAAGGGATATTTCTACTGAAGATAATTAACACCAGTGGCGCGCAAAAAGGGGTTAATGATATTTAGAAACGAAAAATTCGTTTGTATTGAAAAATTTCAACAGTTTTATTGATCGTTACAGTTGAAGAGGTGTCATATCCTTAATTAGCATGTTGTTGACAAATTCAGAGGCGCACAAAAAAAGAGTTCATGATATTTAGAAATGACAAAACGTTCTTATTGAAAAAAATCAACAGTTTCATTGATCGTCACAGGTAAAAAGTTGCCATACATTCAATTAGCATGATGTTGACAAATTCAAAGGTGTGCAAAATTGGAGAACCAGAATTTCAGTCTCATTATCATTGTTTTTTTACTTATCCAAGGTGAGCATCCAAGTAATCCATTGGCGTATCATCAAGGCGATTCAGAGAGTTTGATATGGAAACATTTTTAATAATTTTATCAAGTGTTGTTCTTTGTTCCCCAGTGAAAATTTTCCTGTATCATTATTCATGAATGAAAATTCAGGAACGTGATTCTGGCTTCTGATGTTTTCCGAGCCGTACAATTTGATAATTCTGTCAGAAAAAATTTCAAAAAATCTTGTTGATGTTTTTCAATAGAGAGTTTTTGTCGTTCCTAAATATCATAAACTCTTTTTTTCGCACCTCTGAATTTGTCAACATCATGCTAATTAAGGATATGACACCTCTTCAACTGTAACGATCAATAAAACTGTTGAAGTCTTCAAAAAAAAACGAATTTTACGTTTCTAAATATCATAAAGCACTTTTCGCGCGGCACTAGTGTTAATTATCTACAGTAGAAATATCCCTTGTTGCAGTTTGAATGTTGGCTGTTATTGTTTAACTAAAAGAGGCCACATTTTGAATTGAAAATGAAATTTCATAAAAATGGCGATTTTTCCATAGCAACGCAATTAATCCAAAAAATTTCAAAGACGTCTCGAGGTATAGGACCAACCATTCACCCAACATCTGAAACAGAATTCTAGGGTCCCTCACATTTCCCAAATTATTGGTCAAACATTTGAAATTTTTCCGGCTCTTAACTGACACTCTGTACAAAGAGAACGAATCGCAAAAATAAAAACCCGACGCCAATGACGCATAGTAGAAGGATGACGCTTTCTACCTTTGGTTGAAAATCCAACATCGGCCAAGAAATGTTATAGCTTATCAAAATCAGTCAATTATTTGGCTGTCCCACTTCATCTGGTAAGTAGTTTACGTGTTTTTTTGTTTTCGCTTAAAGAGCTTATTAACTTTACCGATTCCAGGGTCAATAATGGAATTCATCAAGATGACGCCTAGAAAAATAGTTACAGGAACATTGGAAATTCTTGGACTTAATGATTATTCGTCAATCAGACTCACAGACATCCCGAAAAATATGATTATTTAGTGACATTATTATCTAATGAAAGGATGGTTGGCAATCCATCCAGGGACTGATCACCAAACTATCGTTTCTACAATTTTTTATCTGCAGCTACAAAGAAGCCATGATTATAATCGGTTAAATATTAAATATGATAATAATAATAATAATAATAATAATAATTTTATAATTATAAAACGTCTATGAATAAGATATTGACTCCTATATAATATGTATTCACAAAAACGATGAAAAGAATAGAAATACTATGTACAAAATTACAACTATACACAAATAGGAAAAATATAGCTGCTCTTGCTAATCTTAGGAAAGTGATATTCAGCAAATTTCTTATAAAAATAAGATATTCGCAATAATAACATATCGATCATAAAAAATTACAAACGCTAGATAAATTCTATGAATTTCCAGTACTGGTGCCGCCCAAGTGAGGGATGATTGTTTTTTGATTTCGCCCTTGTAGGGAACCGAAAAAGGTCGAATTGAGGAAGAAAAAATATCTTCCTGTATATTATCAAGACCATATGGCATGCCCAATGATGTGAGCCCTACAGTGTAACCCGTATTCCGAATTTGAGCTGGAAATCTTGAAAAGTGCAGGAACTATAAGGCAATAATTTGAAAAATCTTGAAATTTTAACAATCTCTAACTCGGACACAAAAGAGTTTTTGAGATATTATGTTTATAGGAACTTTCATCATTTTTTCGAGACGCTCTATCATACTAAGGAGTGTGTCCGACATATTACAAAACACCCTGTATTAGTGACATCTATTTCGAATGTTATTAGTTGATTTGTTTTTACAATAAATGGGAAGGAAGGAAGGGATGCTCGAAGTCATCTCCACAAATTTTAATGATGTTGTTACATAATCATAAGGGACATGTTTCGGTCTTATAAAAGACCATCTTCAGCCTAATTGAAAGTTTTGGAGTTCAAAAAATATTTGATGCTACTATTTCTTGAATTGTTGTCGATTCCCATAGTCCAGAACTCAAAAAACGGGTTCTCAATTAATGACATACTATTATTTTTATTGAAAATTCCACATACCAGAATGGTATATGAAGGGTATTGCCAATAGATCTGTTTTTGACACCATAAATTAACGGGTTTTTTAAAAAGGGGTTCCCCGTGCCCTTATGAAAGCGCTACTTGAAGAAAATATCAATAAAATTGATGGGCAAACAGCCAGCACGTGTTTAAATCTAAACTAATTTGGTTAGAAAACCCGTTAATTTATGGTGTTGTCAAAAATAAACCTTTTGGCAATGCCCTTCATTTATTGAGAACCCGTTTTTTCATCAAGTATTTGAATTCTGGACTATGGGTATCGACAATTCAAGAAATAGTAGCATCAAACATTTTTTCAACTCCAAAACTTTCAATTAGGCTGAAGATGGTCTTTTATAAGACCGAAACAGGTCCATTATGATTATGTAACATCATTGAAATTTGTGGAGATGACTTCCTTCCTTTGGAATAGTGTTTTCATTCACACTGATCGCTTTTGTTTCAATGCATTGGAATCAGATTATTCTTTCACATGTTTTCAATGAATTACTACATAGCGACATAACATTTGCAAAAACCTTTCCAAAATGAAATAATCAACTACCTGAGTCATCAGTGCTATTACTACTGACCCACAAAACCTACATATTCGTGAATATTAGTGATTTCAGCTGATTTTAAAATTCCCGGCTTGTTCAACCTTGAAAACCTGACATGCGCAGAAACGATCTTGGACTCTCGAAGACCCTTAAGGGATGCAGATATAATGCCCTCCTCGTTCAATGTTGGCATATTTTTCATACATAGTTCGCATAGTCGTTCAACAGTCCAAATTCTTGATTTCAGAAAGGAAAATCAGTAGATTCAGTACCGACAGCAGTTGAATTCAGAAAATTTCGTTTGCATACTTTTTGTGTTCCAGTATATTCTCAGACTACCACAAAACGTGTAAGGTTGAGTAACTTGTTTGTCAAGTTTCTTCAAGATCATTTTAGCCTTCTCATTTACAATCTACACCTTCTCACCTTCTTATTTCCAATCTACACCTTCTCCAGTTGTATTTCAGAATGGTCAATTCCATTTCAAAAAGAGTCAATTGTATCTCAGAATAGTCAATTGTATCTCAGAATAGTCAATTGAATTTCAGAAAGAATCATTTGTATTTCAGCAAATATCATTTGAAATACAATTTTCATTTTCTGAAATTGAATTGACTTTTCTGAAATACAATAATTGACGCTTTCTGCTGTAGAAGTGACTAACTATTCTGAACTACAATTGACGCTTTCTGAAATTCAATTGACTATTCTGAAATACAGTGGATACTTTCTGAAATACAAGGGACTATTATGGAATACAATTGACACTTTCTGAAATACAACTGAAAAAGGTGCAGTCAAAAAACAAACTACACCTTTTCCAGTTTTATTTCAAAAAGCGTCAATTGTGTACTCCACCTTGGTAATGATAATCCAAGAAAAAAATTATACCATCAATGATGAGCAATTAGTTGAGGTTGAATGCCACAATGATCTTGGAGTTACCATAACCAACAATTTAATGTGGTCATAGCATATCTCAAACATATGCAAACGAGCGAATACAAAATTTTACCTCTTGAAAAATTTTTTTTCGAAAACGTCACTTGAAACTTTCACTAACCTGTAAAAAGTTTATGTTAGGCCAATCCTAGAATACGGAGGACATGAGTGGAGCCCGGAGTTGATCAGAGATTGTAACATGTTCAAATCTGTGCAACAACGAGCAACCCCAATGTCCTTCATTTGAATCAGTTAAGCCTGACAACATTCGAAGATCAAAGACATCATGGAGACTTGATCCTAACTTATCGGATTCTTCATGGACACCTACCCACACTGAGTGATCTGTTCCAGATAAATGCTGATGTACGATTAAGAGGACATAATTTCAAACTTATGAAGGACCATTTCAGGTCATCAAAACGGCAGAACTTCATAGTTAATCGTGTTTTCATGGCATGGAACAACCTGGATGCAGACATAGTTAATGCACCCTCAGTATCATCATTCAAAAGTCGGTTAGATCGTATTACTGAGTAAATACAACTACGTCATGTATAAATGGGCTTTTATAGGATCACGCCTCAGCCCATTCTCACTTTTTGATAATAATAATAATAATAATAATGATAATAATTCAATTTCAGGAAGCCTCAATTATTGTATTTCAGAATAGTCACTTGTATTTCAGAATAGTCAATTGAATTTCAGAAAGCTTCAATCGCATATCAGAATGATCACTTGTATTTCAGAAAACGTCGATTGTATTTCAGAATAGTCAATTGAATTTCAGAAAGCGTCAATTGTATTTCGAATGATATTTTCTGGAATACAAATGACACATTCTGAAATTCAATTGACGCTATCTGAAATACAAGTGACTATTCTGGAATACAATTGACGCTTTCTGAAATACAACTGACTATTCTGAGAAATAATTGACACCTCCTGAAATACAACTGGAAAAGTTGTAAAATATATCGAGCGCAAAATTCACTAACGATTATCCCCCGTATAGGCGCCATCAGTACTGGATCAGGAACCGAAAATTGCCGATCTGGTAATCGAAATTATACTTTCAATTATCTACCATACGGTTACGCTAAAACGATATCGTTAAAAATACGATTACACTAAAATTAATGCTTGACTTTAGCGTTATGTAACAAACTTTGGCTATTGTTAGTGTTCTGTCTCAAACCTTCGCTTTTCATGAAGTCGATCTCAGCATAGAGGAAGGCCTGTTCGCCTGAAGGGGCGGCGGCGGTTTCCGATCCACCCGGGCTGCCCCTGAAAAAAAAGACCAACTATGAAACAGAGAGAAACCATTTTTTCGTTATGTCGGTTCAATATGGCGACTTCTTGTATACAGGGTGTTCCTTGAAGACATGCTAATATTTGAGGGGGTGATTCTCTGACTCATTTTAACCCATTAGTGCATAATGTGTCTTATAATGGACGCTCCTTCTCTAATTTTTTGTGACGTCAATCATGCAGGCATTGAATGTTTCATGCGCCAGAACTATTAGTGTAGTTCAACAACAAACAGCTATCGCTTCTATTTCATGAATTTTTATCTCGACAATATTCTGCACGTGATCAAATGGATAACATTTTGTATTGTACCCGACAAGGAGGGTAAGTATTTATTATAACGCAGTATAATGAATTTCAGAATTTCATATCCCTCAAGATCTCATTATATGCCTGTGTTTATGAACCTATGAGGTGATTCGAATAATTTTTTTTTTTTGTAAGACACTCAAAATATTGCTTTTGTGTTGTGTCCATTATAATGGACTCTATGCTTATCGGTCATCAAGATTTTTTTGCAGATCATTCTTGGAACACTTCTTAGACATATGGAAAATGGCTCAGATATCGATCAACCAACAGATAATCATATATAATATTGCCTTCAGAAGAAAAGTTGGCAGAAATGCAGTTATTCGAATTTAGAAACTGCAAATCCAAAATAAATCATATTTCTAAAGGAATTATCGAACAGCCGTGCGACTTTCGTTATTCTGATCTTATTTTGATGGGACTGAAGATAATATGCATCATGAAAAGAAATATTATAGCATCGAATGATTGTACGTTATACTGCAGCACGTCAACTATAGACACGACTCCATCCACTCGTCCGACTCCTCTTTTTCTTCAACGGGTTCACATTTCCCTCCACTGGATCATGTGAAGAGCACCAAAAAAAGGTCTGAAAGTATCATCCCAAATAATTTCTTGATATGATGCATTTCCATATACCCATCAGCTGAATTCCATTCAGTAGAGTAAACAAAATTGCAATTTTATATGTAAAATAGGACTGCATCTGAGAGATGCTTCAAAATGTATCAAGTCATCATGATGTATAATTTCCATTATTATTATTATCATTATTATCATTATTGATAATATTGTGATTGATGTTATTGAGTTTTTCATGTTCTGGATATGTACTTGAATAAAAATGTATACTGAAATTCCCTACTGATCACTTTCATCAATGAACCAATTTGCATGGAGTCAATTAAAATGGACGTGTCATATAAAAAAAATCTGTTGTAAACAAAAAATTATTCGTCATGAGATATTATTCTTTGAAAGAGATTAGAAAAAAAGTTACTTCATGCACTAATGGGTTAAGAAGAAAACTTCATATGAACGTATATCCTCAACTTTTGAGATACAGGGTGATGAAGTTTTGAAAAATATTCAGTATTTTGATGATAACCAAGACAATATTGTATACATCTTTCTAAAATTTGGTACACGTCTTTTATGCATCAAGGTGCATTTTCTGATGTACAAAAATTTTCATTTTCCCTACCAGAGGCACCGTTACGGGAAAATTATTGTTTATATTTTACTAAAAAATGAGCAACGACGAAACATTTTCAAATTTCATATAGAGCCATGAAAGGCTATTTAATTATGTACAAAAAAGATCCTATTGTTGATAATCGATAGAACGCTTCGTTTTCGAGAAAACACGGAAAAAAGAGAACAGATTTCAAATTTTGATGTTTGAGTACTCCATTCAGAACATCCATTACGGGATTTCCACCGTATGTAACATTTTGAAATTCGTATACGGATTTAGTCACATAGCAGACTGAATTTTGCCATCACTAAAAGCTATACAGGTTGGACAAAAAATAATCTATGCATATGTTCATATGAAGTTTTATTCTTGAAATGGGTCGAAGAATCGGTCCCTTGAATATCATTAGGGAACACCCTGTATACATTTCCCCCCAAAAAATTAACACACCACCAAAAAGTATCCAAAAGTTTTGAGATACATTTTCGTCGAAATGTCTTGTCCGATTTGATCGTTTTTATAGCGGATCCCATTGGTGAAACTAGTGCGCACTGTATACATTTCTCTTTCTACTACACGTCAAAATGAAGGATAGATACACACTGAGTGCATAAATGCTCCACCAGTTCATGCCCAATGGAAACAGTTATTAATTAACACACTTTTATTAGCTTCACCTGTATGTATGGGTGTATGTATGTACAGGGTGTAAATTTGAAAACTTTCAATGCGAATATCTCGCGAAATAAAAAAGTTAGAAAAACGCCGCTTGGCACAAATGCTAAAGTGTCAGGAAGAACTAGAACCACCATATTTCAGTGAAGGGATGAGTCACCCTGTCAGCGCGACACACCCCAACTTTGAAATGTCAAATGGCACTACCTCTTTTGTGATACCTCGAATGAACGGTCTCAGTCAGTGTACAAGACTTTTTTTCCACCCACTACAGGGTGTACGAAAAACATAAAGTCGGGGGTCTAAATTTGAAAACTTTCAATGCGAATATCTCGCTAAATAAAAAAGTTTGGAAAACGCCTTTTGGCACAAATGCTACAGAGTTAGGGGAAACTAGAACCACCATACTTCAGTAAAGGGATGAGTCACCCCGTCGGCGCGACACACTCCATCTTTGAAATGTCAAATGTCATTACCTTTTTGTGATACCTCAAATGAACGGTCTCAGTCAGTAGTATTCACCTATACAAGACTTATTTTCCACCAAATACAGGGTGAACAGAAAACATAAAGTCGAATAAAATAAAATGCAGAATGCCGATATATTCCAAGAGATGTGTTCCAAAATGTTAGAATGGCATTTGAACATCTATTATACTATTGCTTATAACAGAATGGAATGCATTTTGAACATCTGATCAAATAAAATATCCTTTCATTACAATTCATTTTATTTTATTCGACTTTTATATTTTTCGTACACCCTGTAGTGGGTGGAAAAAAAGTCTTGTACAGGTGAATACTACTGACTGAGACTGTTCATTTGAGGCATCACAAAAGAGGTAGTGCCATTCGACATTTCAAAGTTGGGGTGTGTCGCGCCGACGGGGTGACTCATCCCTTGACCGAAATATGGTGGTTCTAGTTCCCCTTAACTCTTTAGCATTTTTGCCAAACGGCGTTTTTCAAACTTTTTTCTTTCGCGAGATATTCGCATTGGAAGTTTTCAAATTTACACCCTGTATGTATGTATGTATTTATGTATCTATGTAACCGACTCCTTTGGACTCGATTTTGACCCAATTTGAACGGACCCATTGGTTTGAAATTTGGCAGGTGTACATAATTCTGGTGGTAATGCATCATGACATTTGTGTTGGATAAAAAAAAACAAAATGGCGGACGAGTTTTGTAATTATAATGCGGTTCTATTCAAAATTGGTATCTGGTAGTTTTAGAGGTCGTACATTATTATGATTCTTTCGTCAAAATTGGTAAATTCATGATGGCAGACGAGTTTTGTAATCTTGATGAAATTGATATACGTTTTCGGGGTCGGAGATTATGATTCTTTCGTTTAAATTGGTAAATTCAAGATGGCGGATCCAATATGCCTGACGAGTTTGTAATTATGATCTGAATCTTTTCAAAATTTTTATCAGGTAGGGGTCGGAGATTATAATTCTGTGGTCAGATTTGAAAAGTTCAAGATGGCGGATACAATATGGTGGACGAGTTTTGTAATTATATGATCCGATTCTATTAAAAATTGGTATCTGGTGGCTTTCGGAGTCGGAGATTATGATGCTTCTCTCAAAATTGGAAAACTCAATATATGATTTGATTCTATTAAAAATTAGTGTCTGTGGGTTTTCGGAGTATGAGACTATGCTTTTTTCGTCAAAATTGGGTACTTTAGAAAATAAAATAATAAAAATGTGTTGATAAATACACAACATAGAATGTAGGTACTGATTACGGAGGTGCTAACATTTTCTATGTTGTGTATTTATCAACACACTGTTATTATTTTATTATCTACTTCTTTTTAGTTTGGTTATCTATGATAGTGTGTTTCTTTAGTTATTTGAACTACTATTTATTTGTTTTGAATAACAGGTCATCTCCTTCTGAATATTGGCGTGCATACCGGGTGTTGCAGGTATAACGTGTTTTTCTCATGAAACTTGAAATACCCTGTGAAGCTACATTATCAAAGAAAAAAAAATGAGAAGGGTGGATGGTTTCCATGACTTATCTACATTATCAAGTTTCAAAATTCCTTTTTTGGATTTACTCCTTAAACTTTCCCATTACTAAAAAAAAATTAATAGCATAACATGGTTGTATTAAATTCAATTAACATTATAAGCATGTAATAAGTAGCAGGCTATGGTCTGGGGAGGCATTTCTCAGACTGGTCGCATGGAACTTATGATCATAAATGGAAGCCTTAAAGCTGGAAGGTACATATTGGAGATTTTTCAAACCACATACAGTGTAGGAATTTTTGTTGATGCAAGATATGTCAGGCCTCAAGTCGCCCGAGTTCTGAGAAATTATCTAGAGGAAGTCTGTATATAACATGGCCAGCTCGGAGACCGGATTTAAATTCCATTGAGAATCTCTGGGATATTCTTGGGACAGGATTACAAGAGGAACGTAACTTGAATACTTTAATAACCACAGATAAACCGACTACTTGAATTTTTTCTAAGTGAAAATACCATTTGATTGGACTAATAGTAGTCGTAGGAAAACAAAGTATTCTATTCTATAGCTCACCTTCTCGGGCAAGCCCTCGGGCTGCACGCCTCATCCTCCTCCATGGCCTGCGGCAAATCCAAACTGGCGTAATGCAGCTTGCCCGGCTGCGGCTGCAGCTGCGACTGCCGGTCCGAATCCGCCGCCAACGATGGCGTGCTCGCCCACAATTCGCACGAAGTGACTCCTCTCCCCACCACCTGCGTAGGAACCTTGGGAATTTCGACAGCTATTGAGGGGGAGGTTTTGTTGGTGGAGGAGGAGGAGGAGGTTTTGGTGATGGTGTCGTCGTTGGCGGAATTCGGGCGGGAGATTTTCGCCGCGGGGGAGACGCATTCGTTGGTCGAGGAGTGTGGTGGGGTTTCGTCTCGGCTCGTGGAACTGATGCAGCTGTGAGCGGCATCTGGAAGGAAAATGCGGAAATAGAAAACTATGATTCTTCAGTGAAATTATGGGATATTCTGCAATTGATTGTTAGTAGTTCAGTAAAGTTAAACATGAAATGGGGGTCGTGCTTGCAAAAGGACCGGTCGTTCTGAATTTTTTATATGTTGTTAGGACCGAAGCCAATATTTTGAAACCAGATTTGCAATTTCCAAACTGCTGTGCGAGCGGCGGTATACCCAAAAAACAATGAAATTTTCGGACCGGTATGGTCACCATATATACTTTTGAAATAAACTAAATTTGCTATAATTAGAGGCCAAGATGAGCCCCATACAGCTATTGGTTCCCAAGATACAGTTCTTTGTAAATAGGTCGCGTGCACGATGACCGACCCTGGAGGCAAAATATTGAAACACAACCTCACTCTTCTGTGAATTATTGAAACACAACCTCACTTTTTTATTTCTTTACAGAGGAATCAAAAGGCTGTTGTACAATGCACAAAAAATGCAGCAAGATACTAGGGAATATGATTTTTCAGGTAAATAGTAATCTCCAATAGTTATCATTATAAAATGTTGTCATTCCTTATTAAAATTCCTTCTGCCTTCTGCCACTTCTGCAATACAAGCTAATACTGCTAATAGATTGAAAATGTCTACAACACACACGATCGTCAGCATGTCAGACCAGTCCTCCCGATTGATTGCATGAATCCAATCTTCTTGCATTATTCTAGAAATTTCAGTTATATTTCTATTAGCTCCTATTGCAGAAGGAATTCCGATGAGAAATCAGAGAAATAACCAAATTTCAGAAATGAAAACTATATGTGAGTGACTATAGTAGGTACTTACTTTTAAATCATAATGTACCATCCGGATTCCTTCATCTTCCGCTGCAGTTTTTGTGGATTTTAAAACAGCACAATGTGATGGCGTGAGCGAATTGATGAATAGCGGAAAAATACGATTCATATGCCAAAATAATTGTGGAAAACTATTTCCATCACTTGTAAACAAATAAGAAAAGTGACGTGTTTCAATGGTTTGCCTCCAGTGTCGGTCATCTGACAGTTCTTGCACGCAACCTATAGTAAATTTTTTCGAAAAAGTGAAAATTTCTTCAAAATGGTCACATATTTTGTGAGTTATCTTCTATTATACGCTTCCCACGTGAAATATCATATGTAATGAAGTTGGAGAGAATTCAATAAGATATGTTTTGAGACCAGATTGGTATCTGTAAGCCCAGCGGTTCTCTCGAAAACGGCAGATATCCAAGAACAGTCATAAGTGGGTTTTAGGGAATAATGCGAATGAACTGTCCTCACGTCCTTTTATTCACTATTTACCAAACAGTTACAATTCATTTATTTTTGTTATTATTGAAGAATTGTTCGATGAAGAATGAGAAAGATAATACAGGGTGACTCTTTCAATATGGTATGAAAACAAAATTAAAATTGTTGCGATAATATTAATCATTGATTTTGAAAGTACAGGGATGCGGATTCCACTTCTTAAACACAATGTTGTCCAAATGTCGCCGATCCTTCTCATAGCACTCCTCCAATGATTCTCTTGAATGTTGGAATACTCGCTGACACATATTCCTATTTCAATAGGAATGTTGTTAATTGCCTGTCGAATGTTGTCTTTCAACTTCTCCGTAGTGGCTGGAGGATCGGAGTAGACGATGCACTATATCCCCACAAAAAAATCGAGGGGCGTAAAATCTGGCGAATTTGTCGGGAAAGTGGTGTCCCCAATTTTCGAAAACTCGCCGTGCCATAGGAATCGTTAGATTTAAAAAACGCCATGTTTTCTGACAATCCGTACGGAGTCGCCGCAATTTACCAGCGCTACTTCCCTCACAACTGTTAGGACGGTTATACAGGGCGCATGCGAAAAGGGAAATTCGCCCTGGATATATTTCAGGAATAACGTCACTATCAAACGTTGTTTTATATACAGGGTGTTTCAGATTTAAATGTACATACGATACCTGTAGATAGGGGACACTGTGATGGTTCCAAATCACCCCCCTTTGATGTGTTTACCGTTTTTTATAACTGAGATACAGGACGATATCTTGATTTTGGCAAAATCATCATCTGGTCATAGCTTTTGAACCACCTTGTATTATCTATTCATACTTGGTAAAACTATTCCACTTACATTTCCCATCAAAACTAAATGAAAATATAACGTCCTTCGAAGTTCAACATCATTGGGGTGGAATAGATAGATCTGTTCGTTCGACAGAATAACGTCGGTGGTTTTGAAAATTTTTGAGGGCTCGTTTTATTCTTCACTATTGATTCATGAGCTGCGGTAAATCTATCAATAGTTCACCTAATTTGCTTCTAATGACGTTCAACTTTGAAGACAATATTTTTTTTGTATCAGAATTGGATTTTGAATTACAGTTCAATAAAAATTCCTCGAAATGGGGTGAATATTTATATATATATATATATAAGTAGGTTACTCCATTAATTTTGTCCTGCTCTTTCCAAATATCAAAACAGATCCACAAAATTATGCCATACAGAGTGTTGTTTTTGAAATAAACATGTTTTCTGTTTTTCCTTCAGACAGACCTGGATTCTGATCTCAATTTTTATTTAGTTTTGATGTGTAATATAAGTGCAATATTTCTACCAAGTATGAATAGATTATACAGAGTGGTTCGAAAATTATTATTATTATTATTATTATTATTAAAAAGTGATAATGGGCTGAGGTGTGAACCTATAAAAGCCCATTTATACATGACATAGTTGTATGGTACACATAAAGAAATATTATATATATATGTAAATAATGACCAGATGAAGATTTTGCCAAAATCAAGATAACGTCCTGTATCTCAGTTATAAAAGACGGTAAGCACATCAATGGGGGTGATTTGAAACCGTCAAAGTTGTCCTCTATCTGCCAGTATCGTATGTACATTTAAGTCTGAAACACCCTGTATATACTCAAATACTAGAATGCTTGCACACACATAATGGTACCGTACCTACTATAAGGACAAATTACATCAGCATAAATATAAAACAAAACTAATATAAAACATGTTGTTATTGTGTCAGACTTTCTTTTCATCTTTGATGGCCCGGGCTTGGGTTAGCACGAAGATGGTGTCTCGATGGCTGTGATGAATGCTGGGAGGGGCGCCCAATCGGTAGTTTGGTCATCTTCATCATCCGAGCATTTCAGTTGTACATCCGGGAAGTTGGTGCACAATTTGCCACCACATGACTGGCAGAGGACAGAGCCGTGGAGCCCTGCCTTTCTGCACGAACAGCTCCCAGGGCACCCTTTCTTGCATTTACATGAGATCTTTCGCAGAACAGCAAGAGGCGCGGGATCCATGGTGGTTGAGATGGAGGTGAGTCCCTGAGAAGACATCTTCCACCCCAATCTGTAGGACTCAAGTTTACTTCCCGCCACTTCTGCACTTGGAGGTAGCACTTTGCTGCATGGTGGCCTGCGGCATCTTCCGTCAAACGTCTCATACCTCAGGAAATCCAAAGTATCCTTCGCGATATCACCCAAAACATTTAATGCCTGCTTCTCTCACGGCCTTTGGGATGGAGTCTGGCCGAAGAAGGACTTTCACGTACTCAGCAAGTGAGTGAACTTGCTCAGTTGTGTAGTGAATTTGGTCTTCCCTTGGCCAAACGGCGCTGAGGTAGTATCGCACCCGGTGAATGCGTGGGTGAATAGTACCGTCCCTGGTGATCGCTGGGAGTCTAAAAGTTCGTATGGAGAAATGACAGCAACCAGCTTCGCTCTTCATGCTCTTCTGAAGGTATAATGTTCTTGGTTATCAGCCGTTTTTGAGAGAACGGCTAGACCTACAGGTACCAGTCTGGTCTCAAATGAAAGCTAATTAAATTTACTACAACTTCATTCAATATAATATTTGACGTGGGAAGCGTATTTTAGAAGATAATGCAATTCAATAGGTGACCATTTTGAAGAAATGTCACTTTTTCGAAAAAATTTGCCCATTTTCGAAGAACTGTATCTTGAGAACCAATAGCTGTATAGAGCTAGCCTTGGCCTCGAATTGTAGCAAATTTGGTTATCTTCAAAAGTTTTTGGGGTGACTATAGCGGTCAAACCCTTTCTTCTCTGAAATATTGAGTGAAAACTGAAATGTCCGAAAATTTCATGGTTCATATAAAAAATTCAGGATGACCGGACGTTTTGCAAGCACGGATGTATCTTGATTGGACTATAGAACTACTTTGTTTCACAATTTTTCAGAATATTGCAGCAATTTTCATCGCGCGCCTACGCACACCGCTTATAGTATTTCAGAAACCGTCAATTGTATTTTAAAATAGTCAATTGTATTTTGGAATAGTCACGTGTATTTCAGAATAGCCAATTGAATTTCAGAAAGGGTCAATTGTAGTTCAGAATGGTCTCTTGTTTTTCAGAAAGCGTCAGTTGTATTTCTAACTTATTTGAAACTTTGGAAGTATATATGATTGTAAACAAATAGTTATACCGAAATTTTGGGTAGGTCTTCAACGAGCGATTTTGCGGCCTCAGCCTCCGCACTATTGAGCTAGGAGAAGTTAACTAGCAACCAAGTTGTAGCTAACCCCTGCTCTCCACATATCTACGCTTCCTTCACCTAGATTTCCTTTATGAATCTCCTTGACCTTCTGATGAAAGCCAGTATGTCCATCCACTCTAAGATAATCAAGTCCTCCTGTTGGAGTTTGTCTACTCCAAAGATTTCAAATCTCAGAAAATGCTATACTTATACAGCTTCTGCTTCAAGCTAGAAGAAGAAAAATAGCAACCAACCTTTCTGTTCCCCGACCGCCACCATCCCGCCGCCCAACGCCCCCTCCTCCATCGGTCCGCCCCCAGCCTCAGGCTGCCCCACCCTCGCGTCCGCCGCCAGCGACAGATGCCCCAGCGACCTGGTCGGCACCGCCCCGGGTCGCATAGGGGCGTAGTCGCCCTCGGTCGGCGTCGGGGGGGCGGGCGACGGGGCGGCCGGCGCGTAGTTGACGTAGTCCGCGTGCTTTTTTGCCGCCTTCTTCTGGCCGTCGAACTCCTTGGCTAGGTTGTTCTCCTGGAATGAGGAAGTTTCCGATATTGAGGTTATTTTATCTATGTAAAGGGTTTCTCAATAAGAACGCTCGATCTTTAAAGTGTAATAAAAAATAAAGTATAAATAAATCTGACATAATTCAATATTTATTTTGAAGCATATGTAACTACATTATGTTTTAAAAATTGTGTCACTTAAATGTCCGCTCCAAATTCGGCAGTTTTGCTTGTTGACGAAGCCACTTAACCAAAAACGTGCCTCATCACTAAAGATTATTTTATTCACAAAATCGCGGTCACCCTCCAACTGTTCTAGCACCCAGGCAGCGAATTCACGCCGATGCCTATGATTGTTAGGCTTTAATTCCTGCGTGATTTGCACCTTATATGGGTGTGATGATCATTTCTTGTATAATAATAATATTTAGTTAACACGCCGTATTCCCGAAGTTCATCATTTGTCCTGTTACTTTGATTAGTTATCTATTTATGTCATATCACATGTCATGCTGTATTTTGTTGAATAAAGCCAATTTCTGGTCAAGACTAACTCATTCATAACAATTTATTCAACAAAATAAATTCAATTATGGAAACCAACGAAAGGTATCTTCGTCCTGATCGATTAGATGTTGACCCTAACTCAAGTTCGGCAGATCAAGAATGGAATCACTGGAAGCGAACCTTCGAGAATTTCCTTCAATTGAATAACGATATAACAGAAGAAATGAAATTGAAACTCTTAACCAACCACATAACACCAAGTATTTTCGGAATAATCAGTGAGCACAATAACTTACAATCAGCCATCGATGCATTGGAAAAATTATATGTTAAACCGAAAAACGAAATATACGCTCGTCATCGGCTTGCAACTCGAAGTCAAAAGGTAGGAGAAACTATAGATGAATATCTGCATGCTGATCTATCAGCTGCTACAGTCATAAAACATTTGTCTATGATGTTCTCGGTGTTTGGTTTACCTTGTTACATCCATTCAGATCGAGGCTCGTCGTTTATGTCCTTTGAATTGAAACATTTCCTCCAGTCGAAAGGAATCGCCACCAGTCGCACTACGGCATATAATCCCCAAGGAAATGGCCAAATAGAAAGAGAAAACGGTACCATATGGAGGACAATTGAGTTGGCTCTTCGCTCCAAAGGATTGAAAATCGCCCAATGGGAATCTGTGTTGCAAGAAGCACTTCATTCGATAAGATCCCTTTTGTGCACTTCCACAAATGCAACTCCTCATGAGAGAATGTTCTTCCACAGTCGCAAATCCAGCAATGGACAATCTATGCCTTCTTGGTTGACATCACCTGGTACAGTCCTTATGAAGAAACATATTCGAGCAAATAAGTATGAGCCACTTGTAGAAGAAGTCGAACTACTCGAAGCGAACCCGGATTATTCTTATGTTAGGTTACCAGACGGTAGGGAAACAACGGTTTCAAATAAACATTTAGCACCACGAGGTACTGAGGGATATTTTGATCGAAATTGTACCGAGTACCATTCCACTCCTATTAGAGATAACCAACCAAATTCGAAAGCAAATGAAAGCATTGCCAACAAAGATAATTCGAACCAAACTGAAGATGTACTTGGAACACATGATGATGAATTAATTTCAACTAGAGTGCATAGCAGTTCCGTTCCTGAGGTGTCATCCTCTGAATCTACAGATCGGCCTCAAAGAATTAGAGGACCTCCAAAGTATTTAGAGGACTATGACTGTTTCTAAATGCACGGGAGAATGTGATGATCATTCCTTGTATAATAATAATATTTAGTTAACACGCCGTATTCCCGAAGTTCATCATTTGTCCTGTTACTTTGATTAGTTATCTATTTATGTCATATCACATGTCATGCTGTATTTTGTTGAATAAAGCCAATTTCTGGTCAAGACTAACTCATTCATAACAATGGGTGAAGCGATAAGTGGTGATGCAGAATTCGCCAGGTTGACATCCGCGAAAGTCCAAGTTCTTGAGCACGACGCGGAATAGAGTGTCGTGGATTCTCATGCACACTTGCTCGGACGGCCGCAATATTTTCAAGGGATCTTACTCTTCGCTGACGCACAGGAGTTCTTTGATCTGCCACTGAACCAGTTCCATCAAATTTGTTCATTAAACGGCGAATTGAGGACTCTGCAGGACGATCATTAGCACCATAAATTGCGCGAAGTGCGCGGAATGTTTGCCGAACGGAACATTGGTTTTGGTAATAAATTTTGACGATTTCAACACGTTGTTGAATTGTGTAACGCTCCATAATAAATGTTAAAGCTAACTGAATATTCCTGCCAAAGATAACGCCTGTGTGACTTTCGACCTTGTAATGAGCTGTTGCCAAAGATCGAGCGTTCTTATTGGGAAACCCTTTATCTAGTTGGTGGAATTCTGTTGTACCAGGTGTTTCATAATATATGCCCAGGACTTCAAGATCTGATCTCATGCAAAAATATGAAAAAAATTCTATCAACTCACCCTCTATGATTATGTCACTCATTATTTCATGAATAAAGCAATAATTTCATGTTATATTCTCATTTGTAGTCGGCGCGTTATGTAATTACGATACATCGATAGCAAGTAGAGACAGAACGCATCAAATATTGTCAAGCGTCTCGTCAGAGGCCGGAAATTTTCTGTATTACTAGCTTCCGCACAGCTAGCTCACAATATTTGATACGTCCTGTTTCTAGACGCTAGTCGCAAGTGTCAAGTTGTACCTGTGGATAGAGGTCAAGTTATGTTTAGCAATGGCACTCGACTCGGACTCAAGAGGTTAGGTTGATGATGATATAAAGAATTGTTCCTCAAAATGCGATCATACAAAGTTGTTCCAAGATTTTTCCATACAAATCAAAATTCAGTGCCTATGACGATTTTGCCTGAAGTGTTGAGTGCTACTTATCCCTGAATATGAAATTATTATGACATCCATGTTCACGACAGTTTTTGCTGCATAGTAATTTTGTTTTATATTTTGATCAAACTGCCAATGTGGAAGTGAAGTGAAATACAAAATCGAAAACACAGCATATTCAGGTATCTAGCAGACATTCTACAGCCGAAACAAAAAAACGAAACCATCATGTTTTCCATTATCAACACAGATATTTCAACCAATCAAAAACGTGTATTTTTAAATGAGTTAAATAATCACAAGTACACGATGTTCTGAATATTCCAGTTAATTCTGTCACTTCATATTTGGTATTGTTGGTATTGCTGTACGGCAACACAATTGACATAAAAATGAAAGACAGAATTATGAGAAGATATAAAGAACAGAGTGGTATTTTGCTAGACCCTTTCACGTTCACGAAGCATAAAAAGCATTTATTATAAATGAGTCAATCATTCTGAGAAGTACAGTCATAATTATTTTATGCCAAACTGACAGACTTTGCTTCGCTATCTATGGTTCCATCGTTGAAAACATCAATGCTGATAGACCAATCAGAATTGAAAGACAGCTAATGTTTTCGCGATAAGCACACGTTGTCTGTGGCTTGTGATTGGTCAGATTATGTGATAATTGAAATAGTCATAATGAGCTATGATTTGTGTGAAAGTTTTTTTTTCAACTCATAATTACTGAAGATTTTGAAGGAGTAGTTGCTGTTTTTCTTCCCAACTTTTACGCCACTAGAAAGAGTAGTACAGTTTTAAGCCGTCTATTTGAATCGCCAATATTGTCAACACAAAAATAATGCTTTTGGTTATAAGCTTTAAAGTTGACTGTTCTCGGAAAATCAACTCTTATGTTGAAAAACATGGTCAATTTTTCAAAATACTTTTTTGCTGCGTGCGATAAAGCTTATACAATTCAACCGAATATGATTTGTTATTGTTTTTCTTTAATTTTGCAATTATGAAGTTAACGTTTGGTTGTGTAACTTGTTCTAAAGTGAAATAAAATGTATTTAAAAAAATTGACCATGTTTTTCAACATGAAAGTTGATTTTTCTCGAGAAGTTATGACCAAGAGTAGATTTTTTGTGTATGAAACATGATCGTTTCAAATGACTGGCTCGAAACTGCACTTTTTTAAGTGGCGTAGAAGTTGGGGAGAAAAACACACCCACTACCCCTTCAAAATCTTCACCAATTATTACTTGAAAAAAAATTCCTCACAAAACATGGGAAAGCTGTTTTCTGTGAGATAAATGGTTCTAGACCTATTTGCAAAAAAACATTTTTTTTTTCAATTCCACCACCCTTTAACTTCTTATCATATTTTTGGACGAGCTATCACATCACATCACAAAGATGAAATGCGGCGTTGCCGGCAGAAACACCTAAACTTGTCGGAATTTCAAAACTTGCTGGAACTCTTCTGAGCCGCCGAATATTTTTGCGAGTGACTTTGTGAAAAGGTGGATTTTTCTGAACAGATCAAGAGATCAAACATTCAAATTGGTCAAAAAATAACAGACATATAACAGGATAAAGACAGGTTTGTTTCCGCACATCTAATTCCTATTTTCTTTCAATTCAATTTGAGGCGCTGCATTGTATTATAGATAGATAGGTAGATATATATTTAGTGATTTGAAATACTTTTAATGACACACGTCATTAGTATACAGGGTTATCATTTGAATACAAAACACAAACACAAACAAATGATAATAACAAATACAAAACAAGTTGAGACAAACATAAACATACTCAAGTAGGAAGCTTTTTACGGTCGATAAAATGGAGAGATACTGGTCACTGGGAAGGTGGGTATTCCGTGTTAATCAGTAAATTCAGCACATTGGTATTCAGTCAGTAACATCTGTTTGATTGAAGTTTTAAATTTTGTGGTATTCTGGTTTTTATAATTATCGGGAAGTTTATTATACAGATCGACATTTAAGGAGTTTTTGGATGAGGTTTCCAGTCGTAATCTTGGGTATAGTGAGTTTCTATTTCTTGTATGGTAGTTGTGTATGTTATTATGCTTAATAAATAAATGAATGTTCTCGTGAATCTCTAAAAGACAATCTGTCTACATGCCTCCCTGGGTCCTGCACAATCAATTATTCTGACGGCCTTTTTTCGGAGGATAAATATCCGTTCAGCCTGTGAGGAGTTGCCCCACAAGGTTATTCCGTAGACCAGATGTGAATGGAAAAGTGAGGAAAACGACATTCTCATGGCCGTTGAGCTGAATGATTTCTTCAAAGTTCTCAATAAAAAAAATTTGAGTGGATAGTTTTTTACTTAGCTAATCAATATGGTCGTACCATTTGAGTTTACTGTCGAGGGTCATCCCAAGTTAACATTGCCGTGAGAGACATCTTTATTCATAGAAAACACAATTTTTTGAGTTTTTCCTGGATTGTTGACGAGTCCATTCGGTTAAGCCACTCGTCTACTTTGTTTTGTGTGGTGAGATCATTTTGTTGTAATGTGGCAGTACTGTTGCTTGAGTGGAAGAAAGTAATGTCGTCCGCAAAAAGAATGCAATCGGATGGCTGAAGGTGATAGAATATGTCATTGACATATATTATGAATAGAAGGGGTCCAAGAACGGAGCCCTGAGGCACTCCTATCGTTGCTAGTTTAGTTTAGGAAACTGTTCCATTAAAAAATACATATTGTTGTCTGTCCTTTATGTAAGACTCAAAAAGTTGTAGGTAGTACCCCTGATTCCATAACATTCAAGCTTTTGTAGAAGTACTGAGTGCTTGACACAGTCAAAGGCCTTGCTTAGGTCACATAGGGTGACAGATGTGTGTTCACCGTTTTCAAAGCCGTCGACTATGCCATCCACCAGTCTCCTGACAGCTTTTATAGTAGAGGGATTTTTCCGAAAGCCGTATTGATGCTGATGCAATAAAATATTCGTTTGAAAATAACTCATAAGTCTGTTCTTGATGAGAATTTCAAAAAATGTTCCTATGATTGGAATAATAGCAATGGGTCTATGATTTTCTGGGCAGTCTTTATTCCCTTTCTTGTATATTGGGATTAACTAACTTTTTTTTGAAGACATTAGGGTATTCTCCTTGCATAAAGCACAGGTTGAATAGTATAGACAGAGGTTTAGCGATAATTAATAATAATAATTATTAAATAACTACTCCATCAATGTTTAACATGGAATTATCAGAAATTAGTACAACTGATGGTATTTCCTCTTTGGAAGTTTGAAAAAACATTGAAGATTGCTAAAACTACGTTAAAATACATTTAAACCACCTTGTATATTACATGGTTGAAATAGCTATCAGAATCTGTTAAATAATCAGGACCGTATTTAGAAAAAAAAAGGAGAAGATGATTCTAGAAATACGATACATCCATACATCTCCTACATTTTCCGATATCCCCATGGTGTGCAACCTTATCTTGCTCACACTGTATTCTTCTCATGTTTTATAAGTTCAATTAGATATTTTATTCATGATTTTCGGGCAAATTTGAAACGATGAATATATTATCTTTGTTTGTATGATATTTTTCAAACAGAAAATACCGGCAAACCTACAAACGCAAGAAACGGAAGCTAGATGTGAAAACACACCTATCTTTATCCTGTCATATGTCAATTATTTTTTTACTTGTTCTGTTCAGGAAAGTGCACGATCTTGGAATCTCTCACGCAAAAAGTTACAGTGCGACTCGAAAAAGTTGAAGTTGGGCCAAGTTTCGGTGTGTCAGCCATTTTGTTTTATGGACAAGCATGCCTTTTCGCTAGAAAAGCCGATCTCACTGTGCCCAACATCAGCTTGTCAAGGAGAGGACTGAAAGGAAGGAACTGAGAGAAAGAGACGAAGAAAGAAAAACGAGATAGATCAACACTCAACATCACTCACCTTGCCCTTCTTAACCTCGAAATCCATCGAAGCGTAATCATCCCCACCGCCGCCGCCGCCGCCGGCGTTCGACGCGATATTCGACTTGTTGTTGTTCTTGTAGATGGCGTTGAGGATCGCCGCCGGGATTTTCAGCGCCGACGGCGTGGACGACATTTCGACCTTGACGGGCCTCATCGGGGAACTGGGACTGTTCAGGCTCATCGGGAATATGGCGCCGGAGGTGCTCGGCGTACCGACGCTCGAGCCGGAGCTGTCCTTCGAGTCTTTGCGCGTCCTCTGAAACAAGGAGACGATGTTCGAGGTTATTTTCTTCATTGATAAATCCACAAAAAACGCTATAATATGACGATGTCGTTTTGTCATTTTGACGTAGAAATTTTAAATTTTTAATTCCTTACCTATATAATAAAATTCCAAATGATATTCTAAAAGTTTGTGAAGTTTACATTCAAACCAAAATTGCCCAAATTAATAAAATATTGGTTCTGGAACAATGCAAATATATCTACAAAATCACGAACAACCAACAAAAATGCAATGGTCATCTTGATCATATCTACCAAATTCACTCTCATGACACACGAAACAGGATTAACATTCACTTGGGCAATGCTAGAACTGAAATTGGACTGAACAATCCAATGAATAGAAGTATATGGTCGTACAACGCATTACCTATTACAATAAAAAATATAGACACTTTTAACTTATTTCACAAAGAACTGAAACGGCACTTGGAAATGTAATATAATATTGTAATTTAGATATAGGCCTCTTTGGTATCCCCATATTACTGCTTTCTCTGTTGTTGTTCACCATTGTTAAATAATACTAATAGTCTTTTTATTCTTATTATCTTTATTTCAATATTCTATATTATTGTTATATATACGTTATCTGGAGCATCTACATATTGTTATTGTTAACTAGTAGATGTAAATAAGTATGAAAATAATCACTTAAATGTAGTTCTAATGTTGATACAGTATAGTAATCTGTTGGTATACATGTATTGCATTGAGATCACACAATTTATATTTCCACACATGTCATGTTATGAAAATATCATTATTCCGATACCAGCAAGCTTCAAATTGCTGTTTAGGAATTATATTGGATCACCGGGAAGTATATTCTTATTTAAATTAGGCTATACATATGTTTGAACTTGTATTTCTTATTCTATAGTGAACTAAAAAAAAAAAAAAATAAAATGTAATATACATTATGGTGGTGAATTAAAAAAAAAACAAAATTACTACAATCCTATAAAATAAAAATAAAAAACTGGATATTAAACTCCCCTAAAAATTATTTTATTTCTTTAATTAACATTTAATAATATCATTAGATAAATTGTAATAATAATTGTGAATAAGTATGTATGAATATAAATAATTATGCGTATTGAATGAAATGCTCCGTACACTATATATTATGAATTGAATAATTGTCTCATTTCTTAATGAGACAATTTTCAATTGTGATAACTTGATATTGTTAAATATTTATTGACCTATGTACATTTATTTATTTTTTATCCTTACTACAAGGTTAACTTCGTAAGGTTTTTCCCAGTTTATTCAAATTACCTTCATGTTTATTCCAATGTATATTTTGTAAACGTTTTTGAATAAACTTATATTATTATTATTATTATTATAGCAGACTACCCAAGATGGCGAAATAGTTATTTTTAATGCACTTCTCCAATATGGGTATCAAATGAAAGGGCTCATTGAGAGAGAGGAAAATAATGTGTAAAATCATTAGGTCTTCTTATTGAAGAGCTGGACTGTTCGAAATGAACCGGTAAACGACTTTGCAACAATGATCTGTTGAATGAAATGAACAGACTGAGAAACCTAGCCAACGATAACTGAAAATTAAAAAATTAATAAAAAATAAAAAAAAGATAAAAAGCTTTTATATATTGGATCTTTCTTTTATTTTATTCAGACCAGGGAAGAGTCCCTCTTATCCTGATATCTATTATGGAACAAAATAAAAACGGTATTGAAGTTTGATGCGAACAGCCCTTCTGTCCCAAATAAGTTTCAGAAATACATTCTGAGAATTGAAAGAGATCGAACGGAATAAATAAATATCATAAACTTGAGAATAGTAAATTTGGTCATAATGTCGATATTTTCCCTAGTTTATGGACAATCTCGGTCTTTTGAACTTTGATTGATCACCTGGGTCATAATCAACTGCATTTCGAAGAAGCTGATTCTCATGAACCTCAGCTTTTTCGAAAGTCTTGATGTTTCGTTCTTTAATGACTGACACGATTGATGGGAGTTTAAGATCCCTGGCGATCTGGTTATTCCGAACATACCAAGGAGATCCTGTCACCATTCTCGCGATTTTGTTTTGTAATGTTTGTAATCTGGTGATATGAGATTTAGCTGTGTGGCCCCAGACTACTGAGGCATACAGTAAAATTGGCCTGATAGCCATGATATAAATATTCAATTTTTGTCTCAAACCCAATTTACTTCGTCTGTTTAGAAATGGATACAGGGCTCCAATGGCTCGTTTAGCTTTAGATAAAAAGCTTTTATATGAACGCTCTGAAAAGAATATGTCCCTTTATAATTTCAACTATCAACTTATAACCTCATTATACACAATTAATATGGTCATAAGAGCAAGAGCAAGAAACACGAAATTATAAGTGAAGGTAATTATTATTTTTGTTCATTTGTATATTATCCTTGATTTATCTTGACAAAAAATACTAGAACTTTTTCCAATTGGATAAATTTCCTTACTAACTGGAACATTTTCCATCAGTCATTTCTCTCGAAAAACTGACAAAATTTTTTTCTTGTGTCAGTGTTTCTCGGAAAATTACTGATTGCCAAATGTTTTTTGTTAGTAAAAAAATGTAACCGACATAAAAGCACTCGTGATTTTATTGTTGATAAATTTATTTAATACAAAACCTGTAACCTGTTCAAGTTAATGTTGAGTTAATTTTAAGTTGATGTTGAGTTGATGTTAAGCTGATGTTTAGTTAATGGTAAGCTAATGATCAGTTAATAATAAGTTAATTATGTAAAGTTAATATTAAAATTGAATTAAATAATGATAATAATATCACCTTGATATGATCGAATATGATTAGAAACATGATACCTACCTATCTGTATATTTATGGTCTTAAGAAAAATAATGCATAAAATTCGTTGTTTCCTGCGCTCGTTTCATTTCCGCATTCTCGCGAAATATGTCACTTTCCACACCAATTATGTAATATACTTTTTTCCTGTTGCGTTTTTGTGAATGGTTTAGGTAATAGTAATTTTCCTAACAAGTGCGAAAAGTGATTCTTTCCCGCACGCGACTGCCGTTGACACGAACAACGCGAAAATTCGTTAGAAAGTGCATTTCCTGCGCTCGTTTCGTTTCCGCACTCACGCGAAATGTCCTGTTGCGTTTTTGTAAATGGTTTAGGTGAATGAAATTTTTTGTTTGTTTTTTTTATGTATAATGAATTGATATTCATCATACAGAACGTGGAGAGAAATTCTGAATGTATTTCTTTATATAAATATATACATTTTTTTATGTTCATGATTACATCTGAGAATATTCCTTTTCAATGAATCAATCAATCAACTTTATTATTGCCAAGAAACAACATTTGTTTATAGCAGGGAACATAGTGAATACATAAATATATTTGACAAAATAAAATAAAGAAGATAGTAGTAAAAGAAGACTCACACTCAAAAATGATCTTTTTTTTTCAACTTCAACTGAAAATGATTCTCAATTGACTCAGCTGTTAGGTACCCAATAGAAAACTATAGTAGTTGTACAAGAAAACTATAAAAATGAGATAAGATGTCAATATTACAGTAGTAGATGTTTCTTGAATTCTTTTTTAAATTTTTCAATCCTATTAATCATCTTCAAGTTATTTGGTAGTGAATTGTATATCTGATTTAATTTTCTTGACAGAAAAATGATCTGCTTGTCTAGTTGCATGGTTGTGGTGACTACCATTAATTTGGAAAACCAAATTTGAATGCTTTTGGATGAAATTTATTTTCTTTTTAGAGGAAGAATTCAGAAAAGTCTGAACCAATTCAAACTCACCTGTCTGGGCAGACTCGAGTACGGTGCCGCCCACGAGGCGAGCGGCAGGTGCATCTTGGGCGGCGTGCCGGTCGACGCTTTCCTGCCCAGCAGCGACGAGAACGAGACGGGACTGGAGGCGCTCTTGCCGCCACTGCCCCCGGCCGACTGGATCGAGATCGGCTGCGAGCAAACTTTCTCTCGCGACGAGGAGGGCTTCCTCTTCGTCGACGACGTGCCGCCCGACATGTCGAGGTAGTCGGCGCTGCCGGTCGACGTCGTCTAAGGGAGAGAGAAATAATAATAAAGTTCCAAAGTCTGACGCCGTTTCTTCTTATAAAACTCAATTGGACCACTTTGAAGAATATGGATGGTTTCCATGGTTTGAATAATAATAATTAATAATAATAACACAGTTTGTGGAATATTATCAGTTGAGTCAGTCTCCCAATAATCTTGAGAGCAGGTTCGATAATTTTTTAAACAAAAAAAAAATAGTGGTATGAAACTAATTGAAAAAGGAAGTGAGTATAAATGGAAGGAGGCAAAACTATGAGTCCAATGGAAAAAAGTTGAATAGCTAAGTTGTAGGTAATAAGATCTACAACTCCTGTGGATACACTTTTTTCACATAACCTTCAACATTTATGTGAAAAATTCAAATAACCAAGTTTTTGTTTTTTTATTTTTGTCGTTTTGAAAAATGTTTTCACGAGATATGGTGAAAACTGACCACTTTATGTCCCCCAAATACACTATAATTTTTATGATTCGAAATATCCTTTTTTTCACCATATTTTGACTTAATATAGAAAAATCACCCTAATTTTAAAACGAAAGTTCTTGTGCCAAAATATCTGCTTTTTCAAAAACGGTGGGCTTTTCATTTATTGGAATCTCTACTTTCTGATCATAATGATAATAATAATAATATGTTTATTCAGAAACGTTTACAACATATACATTGGAACATACAGATGGGTATTTTGAATAAACTGGGAAAAACCTTAGGAAGTGAACCTTGTAGTAAGGATAAAAAACAAATTTACATAGATCAATAAATATTTAACAATATTAAATTATCACAAGGGAAAAATTGTCTCATTAAGAAATGAGACATCATGTATTTAATTCATACATAGTGTACTGAGCATTTCATTCAATTCGCATAATTATCAATATTTATATATACCTATTCACAATTATTATTTTGATATTTCTAATTATATTATTGAATGATATATACATAGCTATGTTCTGAGAAAAAGCAAATAAACGAAACTCAAATCAGATTTTTATCATTATGTACATTTTGAGCTATTTATTAACTCATTAACTTTCATTACTCGAAAAACGTGAGATTTCATGTTACATTGATGAACAGAAGGATTTCAAAACCACTGGGATTGCAAAAAAAGCGAAAATTGTTGCTTTTTCCTGCTTTTTCGTTTCTTTGCATTTTCTGAGAAAATTTACTACAATAACAACAAATTTGCCATTCAACTTTTTCCATAGGGCTTGTAGTTTTGTCGTAAATCAAGATAGACCGTTTTTTACCCTTGAAAAATCACCCCTACCACTTTCTCATTATTTATTTTTCCTTTCATCTTTGTTATATTATCTTTCTTTTCCATTGGGTTTCATCTTACTATAACTTTTTTTCACTTTTTACCGATTTCAAAGGCTTTCAGCACTGGTCTACTTTGATGTTCGGAGTACAAAAGCGATGCACCTCATTAGGGTCGGCGACCAAAAATTTGCCAATTATCAGGGGCAATCGGAACGCGACCACAAATGTTAGATCGCTGATAGTTCTACTTGGATTCAACATAAATGATGATTGATTTATCATTATTCATTCTATTGAGGAATAAGCAGGAATGACAAACATATGTGACAAAATAGTAGGTACCTTTATTTCAACATAATAATGAGGTTCACATGACTGATAAGGATGAACAGTATGATGATATCCAAAACCGAGTCCGAAACGATAAGGGACACAGATTTGGTTAAATTTGAAAATGTTGCACATTCATGAGTTGAATTGTATAGCCATCAAACTTGTTCACCATCATTAAAAAATTTTCGAAATTATTTATCCAGATACAGATTTGGTAAAATTTCTTGAAGTTGCACATTCATTAGTTGAATTGGATGGCCATCAAACTTTCTCGGTATCAATAAAATTTATTCGAATATGTCATTAAGTCGTATTTGTTATTTTCCTACTGTCTATAATAAATAGGGGTTTTTATAATTTTCTGAATTTTTCGAAAACATTGTTGGTTTTTTCAGAACTAATGTACCCGGCTGATGATGGGCTTATATACGCACGAAACATGTACTGCGTGATTGATCTCTGATCTTTCAAATGAAAGTTGTGGAGTTGACGTGGGATTTCTTCATCTATGTAAAATGAATGAATGTTCGCTCACCTGTGCTCCGTCCAAGCTCCCCTGCCTGTTGTGCCGCCCACCTAACGTCATCTCGACGTACCCCTCGGGCGTCTTGACCGCCTCCTGCTGCGAGAAGCTCGCCGGCATGTAGTCGCCGTTTCTCGGCGACGACGCCGCCGACGCTTGCGAGCCGAACGACGACCCCCTGTCGGAGCGACGCGTCTGATTGGCCGACATGTCGAGGTAGTCGTGGTGCCAACACGGCGACGTCGACGGCTTCGGTTTGTTCTTGCCTAGAGACAAAGATTGAGTGGATTGAGCTCGGAAGCAATATGGTCATCGCAAATGGCGCCCGAGCAGGGATCCGATGAAGGTGGTAGAACCATATACCCACTAAACATACGGATAACATCCTATGTTTCCATGGTCAAAAGTGAAGCCAGTTTTGAGGAAACAAATGACAGTCTGCAGGTTAAAATACCTATTTGCGCATGCGCGGGATTTGTCAAAATCACGAGTCAAAATGGAGGACGAATTTCATTTAAATTTTATTTATATTTGTTATGTTGTTGAAGTTTCTTACCGATGCCTCTGAAAATAATATTCCTTTCAGAAAATTTCTCCGATAGCAAGAAAAGTACGGCAAAGCATTGATATTGATGTCAAAGTTGTCAGTGGAATGGGGAAAACAATGAGAGCCACATTCCACATTGAATTCTATGATAATTCAATCATTTTTATTTGTAAATTTTAGCCATTTGAGAGGTTTTGAAAATCGGCCATTGGTGGAAGACGAACAGGTATACAAAGCAAGAAATAATTGTATTTTGTTGAAGTGAACAGTATACAGAAACTTGAGATCTTTGGGCTGATGGTTGTACAAACTACTGCTGCTTTGAAACTCTAAGCCCATAGAGAAACTTTGGTTTGTCTGTGCTGAAGCCTCATGAAGTCAATTATGCTTGATTGATCCTTTTGCTTACTGAAATTTCAACCACATTTTCATATAAAGAACTGGAAGAATTTATTTGTGAAGCTCACACCCAAGCAAGTGGTGAAAAAAGTCAGGCATAGATGCAATGTATGAAGTAAAGCCTACAACACTATACTAGCTTTTACAATCAAAGGAAGACAAGGATTGAAGAAACTGTTGCATTTCCTACAAACTTAATCATGATGTTGATGAAAAAGAATAATTCTGAATTCTTGGTAAATTGTAAGTCTTATATAATTTCTAACTTCCATAAATAGGTAACTGATGATATTTGTTTTCCAGATAACAAATTAACTGCCCTACATACAAATACAATGAAGCAGGAAGAACAACATTAAAAAAGATTCCATTACTGTCAAAATCACACTTGAGCAAGGTCTCGAGATGGAGAATAATGGAGATATTTCATAATCATCTTATTCTTATTTCTTGATATAATTTCATTATTACAGAAAAAGTAAAAAAAAAAAAATTCATTAGATTGGCTACTGCAATTGCACTTGTCATTACTATGGAAACATCATAGGCACTTTCACAAGAATGATCAGTCCTGGTGGCAGTTGCATCAGCACTCTGGTAAGCAAGTTCTATCCTCTTACTGAGGATGATTTGGTTGATTTAGCTGAGGAATGATTAAAGACATATTCAAGTTTTGTATGGAAATGACCTTCTTTTTTCCCATTCATGTCCATTGATCACAGGTTTTACAATTTGATGCATTGTAATGGGTGAATTCTGTGAAGGTATTTAATCTGCGTCACAGGAAATACTACCTGCTTCTGCAATTGTATTTGGATTCCCTTGAAACTTGAAAGAAAATCACATTACATAGAACACTGAAGATATTTTTCTCAAAATGCAAGAAATTACCTTCATAATTTGTTTCTAAGAAGTGTCTGCTACAGACAGGCATATACAGGGTGTCCTTAAAAGGTCTTTACAAAAAGCTACCACATATTCTTCAGACCAAAACAATTCGATACAAGCAAACTTACCTCAGTAAAAAGTTGCTTAGTTTGGGCGCTAGACGGCTCTGAAGTTGAAATTTTCAAATCGATTTTGCTTCATAACTTTGGAACGGCTCATGAGATTTTTTTCAAATTTGGTACGTTGGCATAGACTCATCGGGCAATGAAACTCATATCATAATCATAATGAATATCATTCCATGGGCGTAGAACTTGATTTTTTCAGGAAATAAACATCTAAAACTTCTACGCCAATGAAAAAAAATCAGTTTCAGTATGACATCTAGATAGCCCAAATCATTCACTACAAAAAAGGTACTCTTGATAAAATTAGATTACTCTGATGGTTTCGACAATATTTAAGTTTTAGTGATTTCGCGCATATTTAAATAATAAAACGATTGATAGATATTGCATGAAAGTTTTCCAAAATGTTCACTATTTTCGCGTGAACAAAGATTTATACGACGCAAAAAGTTGAAATCCTAATCATAATGAATATCATTCCATGGGCATAGAACTTGTTTTTTTCAGTAAATAAACATCTAAAACTCCTACGCCAATGGAAAAAGTTAGTTTCAATATGAAATCTAGATTGTTCAACTCATTCACTACAAAAAAGGTACTCTTGACAAATGGTCGAATGGTTTCGACAAAATTTTAATTTCAGTGATTAAGAGCATAATCAATAATAAAACGATTATTTCATAAAAATTGTTCAAAATGTTCACCATTTTCACGTATACAAAGATTTATACAACGCAAAAAGTTGAGATGTACTTTTTGCATAGGTTATTTCTATTGAAAATAAGTAGCACTGGTTTTTTTCTGACGACTATTATTATCTGCTCGAAAACAGTGATATTCACATTCTTGGTTTCCATAGTTTCATCTGTGTTGATTTGTCGAGTTTTATTGACGTTGATTGTTGATATCGGACTTTTCTGATTTATCATGGCCGTACAATACACCAATGAAGAATACACCGATATGTTATTGGTATTCGGATATTGTCAAGGAAATGGTCAAGAGAGTGTGAGGGTGTATTCGGCAAGGTTTCCAAATCGTCGCGTACCAAGCCACCCAACCTTTGCTGCAGTTGAGAGACGTCTTCGGGAGACCGGTCACTTTGCTCCTAGAACTGGTGATTATGGAAGACAGCGTTATGTAAGGATTCCCGAAGTCGAAGTAGAAATTTTAGACCGTATTGAAGAAAATCCAGAATTGAGTACTAGACGGATAAGTAATGAACTAGAAGTTTCTAGGAATGCCGTTCATGAAGTACTAAGAGAACAATTATTATACACATACCACAAGACGCCAGTTCAAGATTTATTAATCCATGATTCACAAAGTCGTCTGATGTTTTGTAGGTTCATTAATTTGCAAAGAGAAATAAATCTGAACTTTGGAAAGAATATTTTGTTCACTGATGAAGCCTGTTTCACGAGAAGAGGAATAACTAATTTTCATAATGAACACGTTTATGCAATTGAAAATCCTCATTCCATTAAAATAAACCATTTTCAACACGAATTCAAAATCAACGTTTGGGCTGGAATAATAGGAAATTTTATAATTGGTCCTGTCATACTTCCACAAAGATTAACAGGAGACATGTATTTAAAACATCTACGAAATACGTTGCCAAATTTGTTGGAAGATTTACCACTCCAACATCGGGTAGATATGTGGTTTATGCACGATGGAGCTCCACCACATTTTTCGGTGGATGTTAGGAATTTTTTAAACCAACAGTACCCAGACAGATGGATAGGTAGAGGTAATGATGCACCCGTGAATTGGCCACCACGTTCTCCAGACTTAACACCGATGGATTATTTTGTATGGGGTTATCTCAAGTCTACGGTTTACAAGACTCCTGTGAATACTGTAGAACAATTATGGCAACGTATCCAACAGGCGACGAATAATCTTACAGGCGATGAAGAAGTTATGCAAAGAGTACATTTCAACTTTTTGCGTCGTATAAATCTTTGTATACGTGAAAATGGTGAACATTTTGAACAATTTTTATAAAATATCTGTTAATCGTTTTATTATTAATTATGCTCTAAATCACTAAAATTAAAATTTTGTCGAAACCATGAGAGGAATCGACTTTTGTCAAGAGTACCTTTTTTGTAGTGAATGAGTTGAATAATTTAGATTTCATACTGAAACTATTTTTTTTCCATTGGCGTAGGAGTTTTAGATGTTTATTTCCTGAAAAAATCAAGTTCTACGCCCATGAAATGATATTCATTATGATTATGATATGAGTTTCATTGCCCGATGAGTCTATGCCAACGTACCAAATTTGAAAAAAATCTCATGAGCCGTTCAAAAGTTATGAAGCAAAATCGACTTGAAAATTTCAACTTCAGAGCCGTCTAGCGCCCAAACTAAGCAACTTTTTACTGAGGTAAGTTTGCTTGTATCGAATTGTTTTGGTCTGAAGAATATGTGGTAGCTTTTTGTAAAGACCTTTTAAGGACACCCTGTATATTTGTTCGTGATATTTGTAAATGGGCTTCCCATTTTTGTAATGTTCTGCCATACTTCCTATATTTTTGCATCTGTTGGGAAGCTGTACATTTGTATGTTTATAATATCTTGCACTTGTTGGCCATTATTTGAAGTATTCTGAGACAAAAAACTTCAGCAAACTCGTTCTAAAACCGCGAATTAAAGCTGTTTGCTTCATCAAAACCACCAAAACTTCGCAAATATGAATTCCAGTGAAGTCTCGGTCATGATTTCTTGTCTGAGGCTTCAGATAAATATAAACATTGAATTTTAGGTTATGTCTGTTATGTCATACATTTCACGAAAGTTTTAATAATACTCATATGTTCATTACAAAGCCATCGCCTGCTGAAAGGAATTTTGCAAACTGATGTCATTTTTAGATGACGCATGCGCTGTAATACAGTTGTGCTGGCAGACTGTCATTTATTTAATTTTTTTGGTTCACTTGGAGATCCTTGTTATCCGTATATGTTTAGTAGGTATATGGGTAGAACAGGAGACAGGCCACCAATAGATTGTTAGGAACCTAAATCTCAAGACTAAGGTATTTTAGGAACATTTCGTGAATCGATTGTCAGCTAGTCAGGTTAGGTTAGGTCAGCTGGTCAGTCTGTTTCAGCTTTCTTGCACTAGCTGACAATCGATTCACGAAATTTTCCTAAAATCTCTTAGTCTTGAGATTTTAGGTACCTCAATTCAAGGTACACTTTGCTCACCCTTGTCCATGTCGACGTAGTTGTTGTTGGTGTGCGCCGGCAACTTGTACTGCCTGCTGATGTCGACGAACGAGTGGTATTCGCCGTGAGTGTTTATCGAAGGCGCCGATCCCGACATGTCCATGTACGAGGACGAAATTTCCGATGGTTTTCTCGAGGCGATTTCGACGCCCGGCTTCATCTCGACGTACCCGCTGGGCGTTTTCGGGGAGTTGTTGTTGAGCGTGTTGTTGGAGCCTCCGGAGAAGTCCATGAACATGTGGTTGTTCATGGGGTCGTTGGAGCCATGACAGCTGTGGTTTCTGCAAACCAGAGTGGACATTATGAATGCACTAAGCGTTGCTGGTCAATGAGCGTTTCAGTGAGGAATGTTATTTCATTAGTAGCTGACCTGGCAAACGTTGTTCTGCCATAAACATTATTTCTAGAGAAAATTCGTTCAGATAAATAAGCATCAAAAAACTTTTTTTTTCTACTCCTTCTCATTTTGACTATCCATAAAAGCGGGATTCTTTAGTTTTTCAAACAATTATATTTATTTTCTACTTCTTTTTAGTTCAGGATTCTATATCTCTCCATTTTTTCAAACTACTCTTCATTTTCTACTCACTTCTTTATAGTTTGGCTATCTATAAAACCGTGTTTCATTAGTTTTTCAAACTTAATATTTATTACAATAGCTGATACCCGGCAAATGTCATTTTGCTATATACATTCATTTCTAGAAAATATTTTATTAGTTTAATATTTATCAGCACTTTTTTATTTTGTTTTTTATTTATTTTTAGTTTGGCTATCCATAAAATCGTGTTTCATTAGAATTTCATACCACAATTTTTATTTTCTACTTCTGTTCTGTTCGACAATCTCTCATTTTTTAAACTATACTATCAATTTTCTACTTCTATTCAGTTCAGCCTCGAGTTTGGCTAACCATGAAAGCGTGTTTGATCATAGTTTTTCAAACTACTCTTTATTACAAAGCTTTTTCTCCATATTGAATCCGCCATCTAGAATTTCCCAAATTTTGACGGAACAATCATAATCTCCGACCCCAAAAACCCCTAGATACTGGTACTGGTAAAGGTAGGGGACGTTTCCACGTCAGCAACTAGTCCCTAATGGGACCTTTTTGCAAACCGCAAGTGTTTTCAATGGCTGATGTGGTTCACTCAAGAGAGCTGGCTAACATCCTTTTCAGGCACCGCCCATCAGCTCTCTTTCAGAGTTTTTCGGCTGTATTTTGTAGGCTAGTAATGAACTTACAACCATATGCGCAGTGGCAGTCCTGCTAACTATCCTCGTTAACCCCCGAGACCGAGGTCTACTAAGCAGCTGGCCCGCTCTCACGCTCAGCTGGTAGTTTTCCACACCCACCTACATACACCGTCCTACTTCTTCTCTCACAACCACATCATCATCTTTACCACTTTAGGAGCAGCACTGTTAATTGGAACGCAACAGCGAATCGTGCAGGACTATCTCCAGCCGACCCCTAGATACAAATTTTGAATGGAATCTGATCATAATAAAAAAACTCGTCCGCCATATTGGATCCGCCACCTTGAATTTTGAAATTTTGACGAAATAATCATAATCTCCGACCCCGAAAACCGCCAGATACCAATTTTGAATGAAATCGGATTACAAAACTCCTCCGCCATATTGGATCCGCCATCTTGAATTTTCGATTTAAAAAATAGATTATGTCCGAATACGCACGAAAATATTCATACGAATCGGTCGAACCGTTTCGGAGGAGTTTGGCCACTAACATCGTGACTGGGACAGTATAATTTTATATATTAGATAAGCCAGAAATCATAAGGGAACATTTTGAGACACAAGAATTTTTATTGCTAATTAGAAATATTACCAATACTAAATTGAGGATTTATGAATTGCTGAATAACTAATATTTCTGAAGTTCCCAATCGTATTTCAACACAAGCCAACTGTGCTATGGTCTGCCTCTACTTACGAAATAGTGGCGTCAGTTTTTACTAGCGGTAAAGGACCACGCACACACTATATGGGAAAATGTCTTTCGGTGAAAATGGCTGGATTTTTGATATGTTGTAGCTGTAGTCATTCTAAGTAAAAGACTCCATTGGCCCAAGTCGATCGTATGACCAGATTCGGCGCTAGAGGGTGAAACATCATGAATTTCATGTATTTTTGTGTCTGCGAAGCTTAATGAAGAATATGAAAATCTCGCGATATGCTTTCACCCTACCGAAATTCATTGAAGATAGATATGTTTCAAGGTTACAGAGAGGATGTAGTAGCCTTTTTACAGGGTGGTCAACAATAAACTGGTTTTCAGAAAATCCGAATGCCATCGCCTATATGAGGAAGCTGATTTATTGAGTTCATCAATGGCGATCGATCCGAATAAACGTTGATCGAAGAACAGAAAATGGTTATCATCGATACAGAGTGATCTGAATAACAGACGTTGCCAATATACTCACTTAGATGATTTAATCATGGCATAGTCCTGAATATGTCTTCTGATGCTATTGTCTGAATTCTTTCCGACGAAATACAATGAGAAGTTTTACGAACATTCGTCATTACTCTATGTTCACTTTGCTGTTATGGCCATATGCAAAAAATACAAGGGCTCTTCTTCACTAAGAAAATATCCATCTTACATGAAAATCCATTTTGTGATAAAATGATTCAATGTTTTGTCATGATTTTTGTTATTAGGTGTATGTGTGAATGTGTGTATACAGGTTGTCAATTTGAAAACCATCAATGCGAATATCTCGTAAAATTCAAAAGTTGGGAAAACGCCGCTGCGCACGAATGTTATGAGACTAGTAAGAACAAGAACAACCATATTTCAGTGAATGTCAAGTGGTAATACCTATATAATTCGTGACGTTCAATTCGATGATTGTCTCATAACAAAAAAAAAAATTTTCCATATGATGTCGTATCTTGTGATACATTCCTTTTTTATATACAACTACAATATGGTTTGATTAAACAGTTATTACAATACATGTAATGATTGATAATTATATATAATTCGCCGTGGTAGACCTAGTGAATGCAACCACTGAGAGGAAAAGCTCAATATGATTTTCAATGGATAATTCTGGGTTCAGCTGTTTTTCCTCTCTTTGATTCATCATGTATTAGTCAAGAAGTTCTCAACTCGAATATGATATCTAGCGCACTCAAGGAACCACAGTAAACTAGTTACGTGCTCACATGATCCTCAAACAAGCTGGATCCTGCTCGATAGCTGCTAGTTCATTACTGATGGACTGGCGACAATTGAAGCATATTCTCGTGAGATGGTTTTCAAATTGACAACCTCTATACACACATTCACACATACACCTTATAACAATAATCATGACAAAACATTGAATCATTTTGTCACGAAGTGGATTTTCATTTAAGATGGATATTTTCTTAGTGAAGAAGAGCTTTTGTATTTTTTGCATATAGCCATAACAGCAAAGTGAACATAGAGTAATGACGAATGTTCGTAAAACTTCTCATTGTATTTCGTCGGAATGAATTCAGACAATGGCATCAGAAGACATATTCAGGACTATGCTATGATTGAATCATCTAAATGAGTATATTGGCAACGTCTGTTATTCAGATCACTCTGTATCGATGATAACCATTTTCTTTTCTTCGATCAACGTTTATTCGGATCGATCGCCATTGATGAACTCAATAAATCATCTTTCTCATATAGGCGATGACATTCGGATTTTCTGAAAACCAGTTTATTGTTGGCCACTCTGTAAAAAGGCTACTACATCCTCTCTGTGACCTTGATACATATCTATTTCGAGATTTTCATATTCTTCATCAAGCTTCAAAGACACAAAAATACACAAAATTCATGATGTTTCATCCTCTAGCGCCTAATCTGGTCATACAATCGAGTTGGGCCAATGGAGTCTTTTACTTAGAATGACTACAGCTACAACATATCAAAAATCCAGTCATTTTCACCGAAAGACATTTTCCCATATAGTGTGTGCGTGGTCCTTTCTAGCCGTTTGAAAATTACCGTGGAATTATTGATGATTTTAGCACCTGAAAATCGACCGATAAATTCTTTGAAAATATATGAAATTGGAAGGTATTTGAGTGAAGCTCAGTTTATAGCTGGGCGATTTTAGTTTTGGCGATGCTAGCGATGAAACCTGGTGGCGTTATTATTGGTCAATTTGACTTGGTAAGCTACTATTGACCACTAATATCATTACACGTTTCATCGCTAGCATTGTCAAAGCCAAAATCGCCCAGCAATAAACCAAGCTAGATGATTCTACACTCACCGGCAAAAAAAACGGCCATCAAAAAATTCAACCAAGTTGTTTGCCCTGTAACTTTTTCAATTCTTGTCCGATTTTGGTAAAATTTTGACCAAATTTTATATTCATGTTTCAGAGTGTTGGTCTGAGTATTAGTTTAAAATAGAAGTTTGTGGTTTGATCATTATACAGGCAAAAACAAAAGTAACTCTTCCACCCTCAACTTCTTAACTTCATCATGTTTTCGATTGATTTGTGATCCCTTATCAACACAATGATTGGCGTTCATAACCACTTCTCAAGAAAAGATACAAGGGTTTTAAGAAAGTATGGATTTTTTATTTTTATTAGGAATAATTCAGAACCATTCTCCAACCTTCTGCTTCATCATGTTCCAATAGTCCTAGATTTACGTCAATATCTTATTTTCTAGAGAAGATACAAGAATGGGATTTCAAAATTTTTATTGACAATAATTTAGAACCTATAGAGCATCTCAGGGATGAACTCATTCATCTTCGTGCGGCCCTGTCAGGATCTCTTCAAGAGCTATGATTCTCCCTCCAATGAAAATTCAGGCAATTCTCTCGGCAATTCTTCATGATTACTTTAGGAATTTGATCATCTAGATACCACGGCGGTTGAATGCTGTAATTCAAACTCGAGGAGGGCATACTCGTTATTGATTGAAGGTCTGCTGTTTGTTTATTGTAATTAAGGTTTTTTCCGCCAAGTGCTACAAAAATTAGATAGAAATGAGTGATATTAATTTCCTAAGTTGTTAATCAATATGTATATGTAGGTTCTGATTATTGTTAATAAGAAATGAAAAATGCCATACTTTCTTCTTTCTTGAAACGCTCGTATCTTCTCTTAAAAATAAGATCATGATGTGAATCAAAAACTTTTGTATCAAGGAAGAATAACACTTCAATCCAAAACATGATAAAGCCAAGTTCAACCACTCAATTTCACCACAGGGCGTTAAGAACTTGACGGTGAAAGAGTAATTTTTGGTTGTTGTTTTTTTTGGTACAATGATCAAGTCATTAGCTATTCACGGAAACTGATATTAAGGCTAACATTCCGGAACATGAATCTTCGATTTGATCGAAATTTCACAATTAGGGCAATTTTTTTTGGGGCCGGTTTTTGTTGCCGGTGAGTGTATTTAAGATACAAAAAAATGTGTCCCCTCACCTATTATCCTCGGTATATTTCTCACTCACCTGGAATTGAGGAGGATCGGCGCGCTGCTCGACTTGCCGCCGCCGACGTGCTGGTGGTGGGGCAGCACGCGACTCGGCCCGCGCTTCGCCTTCGAGCCGGTGCTGAAGGAGCGCCCGCGCGCCTCCTCGGGCGTCAGGCCGCCCGCCGCCTCGACGCGCCGCCCGCCGACCGGGACGTGCCCCTCCGGCCGCGAGCCCACCGAGTAGGCGCGCGTCGGGCGCGAGGCGTCGTGATCGCCGGCCAGGTACGAGGCCACCTTGCAAGATAATGAATAATAATATTAATAATTATTGTATTATATTCGTAAATATCTGCAAGATAGTGTATAAACTTTGAATTGACTTGGCCGTTACTTGATGGAATAATAACAGTGAATCAATTTCGAAATCATCTCTCTGTCGTGTCAATGTATAACACCCTAGTGAGGCCTATATTGGAATATAATTCCGTTATATGGAACCCTGTTTATGATAAATATATCTTACGTATCGAATATGTTCAGAAAAAAATTGTAAAAAACTTAAACTACAAATATTTTCGCCATCGACATTTCGAATGTTATGATGATAACCTCAGATTCTATAAATTTGAACGTTTATTTATCCGGAGAGAATTCTCCGACATATTTTTTGTTTACAAAATATTCAATAATCTCATCGATGCTAACTACATAACTTCTGAGTACTCAGTTAATTGCAACCCCTACATCACAAGAAATAGACTAATCTTCTACATACGCACTTTCGATAGCAATTATTACAATAACTCTCCATTAATAAGGTCAATGAATTCCTATAATTTTGTATGTAATACCCACTTAGACATCTTTCATTATTCTACAAATCTGTTCAAGAAGCATCTCAAATCTCTCCTATGTTCTAACTATTATTGATTAGGCACTGGAATTTGATAAACCCATAGTAGTAACTCACTGTTTTTCTTTTTCTTATTAGGTATAAGTTGATTTTAGGTTTTCTGTATGATTCCATCAGGCTCATATGTAATGTATTTTGTTATATTGTGTCACTCTGTTATAGGACGAGCTTCTAAAGTTCTGTCTGTTGAGTGACCGTGCTTATTAATTAAATAAATAAATAAATAAATAACATTAAAAACATATATCATCACAGTTATCAAAATTGAAGAAAATAGTGTCAGGTACAATTTTTTGAGTATTTGAGTATTTATTCAATAGCCATGAACAGTCATATGGTTTACATACATTTTTAGAAACGAAATGAGCTTTAGAAGCTTGTGTGTGCACCAGTCATTATTGAATCACATTTACAACAGATAATTCGCTAATGAATCGTCGTATATACTAATATCTGGACTAATCTTGAACTAATCTAATATACAATCTGAATATATACAATATATGTCAAACTAATAACTAGATATCAGGTTTACTTTTTAAAATCCAAGATAATATTTTTTTTGTTTTTTTTTGTATGGTTTGCCTTTGAGTTCGTTTTGCAGTATGTTATATATTTTTGGTCCTATATAAAATATACTTCCTTGAATGGTTACATAAGATATACTTAGTAGGAATAATTACATTTTCATTTGTTACTGATCTAGTTGTTATAACATGATTAACTTTCGGTACATTCATTTTTGATAGATATCTTACAACAGATTTCAAGTATAATTGAGGAATGTCAAGAACTCCTGCATCTTCAAAGAGTTTGTCAGTAGGAAATGTTTCATTTCTGAACATTATAATTTTTAAAATGTATTTTTGTGCTACATTTAAAGGAGTCATAGCATTAGCATAAGGTGAACCCCAGGCTGAAATTCCATATAACACAGTCTCTTCCAAAGCCCTATAAATATTGATAATGCTGTTCCTATCCAAAATTTGTTTGGGTTTATGAAATATCAGCGATTCTTTTTCAGGGAGGTTCTTTTTTGTTAAATCAAAATACATGAAGTTGGACTTATCAACATTTAGGGTTAAAAGGTTTTCAAGCCATTTTTTCACTAAACATAAAGCGGTATCAGCTTTATCAAACACCAAATTCCAAGAGTCATCCTCAAACAGCAAAGCAGTGTCGTCTGCATAGCAAATCACCTTTCCCTCAGATAAGACTCTGGTCAAGCTGTCTATATATATTATAAAAAGTATAGGCCCCAGCATATTCATGAATTTTAACTTGTTGATGCCTGTTGTTTAGATATGATTTGAAAAGATCGTTTGGTATACCTCTGATACCTACCTACCTCCAGTTTGTTCAGTAGAATGTTGTGTGACATAGTATCAAAGGCTTTGGCCAAGTCCAGAAAGATTGCAAGACATTTTTTGTGATCTTTCAAACTTTTTGTAATGTGATCTGTTACTTTAAGTATATCATCTTCTGTGTTACAGTTCTGTCTGAATCCAAATTGAGTTTTTGAGATCAGATTATTATTTTCTAGGAAGCTATTCAATCGTAGTTTTATACATTTTTCCAATATTTTACTAACATTGCTTGTCAGAGCTATGGGTCTGTAGTTATTAATAAGTTTCTTTGAGCAAGATTTATGTAAGGGAATTATGACTGCAGTTTTAAAATTTTCTGGGAATATGCCTGTATTAAATTGATTGAATAGATGAACCATTCGTGATATGTATCTCATTTTGTACATGAGTTACATCAATTCTTAGCTTTCAAATTGTCATCACCCTATATATGGCAAACCAGACATTGTACCAGAGGAAATCATATGAATGCTCATGTTGATGATCAAGATCCATAGTGTGTCAAATAATTGGTCGATTCTAGCCGTTTGTTTTCAAGTTTTCAGTGATTGAGTAAAAATCTAAATACTGATATTTTCAATATTTTTCTATTCCCATGAATATAACCTTATCGTGATGGAATGCAATACCCTGTATGTGATATTATTATTGTTCCGAATAGAGGGATTCATAAGGTAGAAATTAGACGTGGAGCATTTATTTCTACTGAAGATTTATCACGACTAAGAGCACATAAATCAAATCGATGCGAGATATTCTAAACAGCCAAAATCAGATGATTGACACCCTGTATCTCGAAAACTGGTCATATGATCGATCTGTAAACTGGACTGAGTAATAAGGACGCTAATATCTGAAACATATAAAATTTCCAGCAAAATTAGCCGAAAGCCATTTTCCGTACTAAATGTGCGGGGTCCTTCGCTGTTACCAAGATCTCTCTAAATTAGGTAACTTTAACAAGTGGAATATAGAAATAAAAAACCACTATTTGATCGTCCCCGCCAGAAATGTCATGTTATCCCTTATTTCACTCACCTTGTCGAGCGGGTAGTCGGAGAAACGGACGTCGGTGGAGGGGGTACCGGAAACGACGGCGGCGGAGTGCAGCCAGAGCGGCCTCGAACGCGGCGACATGTCGACGTATCCGTCATCGGAGGAGGAGTGCGGACGCATCGGCACATACATGCCGTGCATACCTGCAAAACGACAGGGCGATTCACAGGACAGGGTTGAAATTAGTCATACTGCACGGTTGGAACAAAGATTATATAGATAGATAGATAGATTTTTTTAATCCTTTGTGCTACAACATGTATAGATAGGACAAGTCACACATAATGGTAAAGGGTACAAAACAACAATTAAAAAAATAAACAAATATAAGTATCTACATAGAAAGACATACTAATAATTTGATTTGAAATATAGAATTATTCAAATAGTACCTACAGCGACCTTAAATTCATCTACAGAATAAAAACGATTATCAGCCAGGAACAATTTCAATTTTTTCTTGAAACTTTGAGGATTCATTTCTTTAATATTATTTGGTAAGAGGTTGTAGAGACGGATTCCTGCAAACATGGGGCAACTTTCATATTTTGAATGATGATGCTTATTAGTTGTGATCATATTTCTGTTCCTGGTATTAAGACTGTGAATTTGCATTCTTGTTCTTAATTCGCCTTTCTTTTCTTGTATAACTGTCAATAGTTGCAGAATGTATATACTTGTTACGGTTAATATTTTATTTTGGTGGAAAATGTCTCTATCTATAAACCATAGATAGGCACTGTTAATGTGGGCAACGCTTATTATACAGTGAGCGACAATATTATGGAACGAATTCATTTAAAAGTCAGGCCTGTGTTTCTTGGGAAAACGCTCGGACACTTCGATTTTTATTTTTTCCTGCGGTTTTTATGGTAGTAGATTCATTTATACAGGGTGGCTCAAAAATAAGACACGATGATTGACTTAATTTTTTTAAATGGAAACACCTATTTTTCACAGGCCTGACTTTTAAATGAATTTGTTCCATAATATTGCCGCTCACTGTATACATGGATAGATAGAAATCTTTACAATTTAATAATTGTGTAGATAGACAATACCAAATATATGAAAAAAATAAACAAAAAGCACATGCTAAATAAAAAGCATATAGACACAAAATTAGCTGTGGTCTGTACAGAAAACTGTGTTTCAATTAATTTTCAGTGTTTTCTTATAAAAAAATATGAAGACAATTATCAATAGTCTATGATGGTTCGCCAGTGCATGGATTGTGAAAAAGTACACCATTCAAACCCCAAATTGGTATTTCAACGGAGAGTATAAGGTTAGGTTTCTTTTAAATTGAACAGTGGTGTAGTTATCGCAGGTTATTTAACTAAATCATTGCAAGAAACATTGTTTTTTGTTCAAATTCCACTGAATGATGGATCAAACTTAGGTGAGTACAAATATTTCTAGTACTCTACTATGAATATTTGGTATTAAAATTTAAAGATTAGACCCAAATTGTGATGTATATGTTATCATTTTTGGATCTTTTGTGTGTTTCAATTGATTTTTTGTTATGAAACCATATAAAGACAATGAGCGAGTGGACTAATAATGAATTATTGGCATTCAATTACCACACTGTGTCGTTAGGGACCTAAATTAATTTTTGCTTCACCTCTCATGCTTTATTTATGTAAATAATGAGTCTATGCGTTGTTCGAAATTGTTGAATTCCAGAGCTTATTTCAAACCTACCGTAATGGCCGCCATTTGGCGATACGTCGAATAAATGATGACGTCAGTTTTTATGCTGTTTTGTTATTGGTCAGATATTCTGCCATTCCCACTCACGAGGCAAGATTGTCAAGTCAAAAAGATGTTGGAGTCGGGTCGTTGAATAAAACATAATAGGAGGAGAACCCATGATATTATAGTTCATTCTTGACTTTTTTGAGCAATCAGCATGTTCAAATATGTCTTATACTCCATAACGAAATATCATGTGAATGTTGGAGACTTGGCAACATTGTGTTGAATTCTGAGAACTGACAAGACCACGCCCACAATTCGTGCACCGTGTTGTCACCTTCACTGCTTCAAATTTCCTTTAGTATGAATTAATATAATTACTATTTACACAAATTTATTATAACCAATAAGCCAAGGTTGGTAGAACTGATTATAATTTGTATAGGAAGGTTGCCTCGATCGATAGTGCGGCAAGGGGGGAAACGGTCACTCGTGACGTCACAGGCAGTAAGACGACAAGTTGTCAACCTTCAAGCAACATGTCAAGAAATGTTTACCAAATAGAGTATACAAACATGATACAAACTTTTTGGTCTGCTCAGCATATTTATATTAATTTATTGTATATAATTATAAGTAAGTACCATTATAAAATATGGATATTTACATTTACTTCTGTCACAGAAAGTATTCTGTGCTTCTTCGAAATGAGAAGGCAATTTTGGATGGATCAGTAGTACAGAGAGGAATACCTATCTGAAATTTTGTTCCAGGGCTATTTACCAGGTCGTGGTACCAGGTATGTGTGTTTTGAGGTATGGAGCATAATTATGGAGCTAGTGATTACTTATGCATTGATTATGAACCTACTCATCCTATAAATATCCTGCAAATCAGATAATGTGAACAAGAAACTACAGAAAAATATAAGAATAATCAACTGATGATCCAGAAGTAGTAGCAGTAGTGGACCAATATTCGTACACAACAGATCACTTATTTTATCAATATAACTCTGTATTCTGAAAAATTGACAAACTTTCCTAGATACCTATAGAAAATACAAGAGGAAATAGTATTTCATTGTTTGATTATATTGTAGTCAAAAACAGAGCAATTGATCGAAGTATTTGAGCATAAAAAAATAACAAAATATGATTCTGAACAAAATTAATGAAAAATAACACTACTATTATAAGTAAACCTATAATGAAGGATAGTTCAAGGAATCTCTCAAATAAACATAGCTCCTCTTCGTTGGGTAACGTACTCTTGCTCAAATATCTCAACTTGAAAACACGTGTGATATCTTCTGATGTCCATTTTACCCGTTCAGCAAGAATCTCAACATTCACAACTGGTCTGGTTCTGATCATTTTTCCAAACTTGAATACTTATGGTGTTTCTCTTGTTGTATTTGGTATTATTGATGGGATTCCTACCTTGAGTTTTCATCTCTTTGGTGTGTGATTTAGCAATTCTGCTTGTGCCGTTCAAAATCCTCGGCATCGAGATGGGCAGAACATATTCGCCAAGTTTTGGTATTAAATGAATTAAAATTACGTCCACAAAATTGAATCCATATTTCTCACGAATAGACTCATCTTATGGAAATTAATGGAAACACAAACTAAATTCACTAGTCTCATTACACTTGTACGAATTTTAACAAGAAATGACCGAACAAATTATCATTTTTGCATTTTTAAGTTCAAAATGGTTCAAATATTCGAAAATACTGACAACTGTCAACTCAATACATGCGCCGGCCAATCGCCGGCGTACATATCATACACGAAGTGTACGAGAGTGCTACACTTTTCGTGCAAAAGAAAGGGTCTATTACGTCATGAGTTACTCAAGATCACTCGCGGGGTGCGATCGAGGCAACCTTCCTCTACAAAATAGTCATCAGTTCTACCAACCTTGCAATAAGCCACAAATCATAAGGAAACATTTTGAGACAATGGATTTTGTATTTCAACATATGGCAACTGTGCTATGGCACGCCCCTACTTACGAAATCGTGACGTCAGTTTACCGTGGCATTATTGATGATTTTAGCACCCAAAAATCGACCAAAAAATTCTGGAAATAATTTAAATTGAAAGATATTTCAGTGATGATTCTATTTAAGAAATGAAAAAATCAGTCCATTCGCCAAATTAAAAGATTAGACCCAAATATTTTCCAATTTCTAATAGGTATCATAGCGTTGTCAATGTAGTAAAATTGTCTTGCCGCTGACTCCTTAACCTACGCAACTAGTAAGGACAAGTGAACATACAGCGTTGTCATTTTTTAAATCTATCTCTTTCTAACTTATTTGAAACTTTGGTTATATGTATGATTGTAAAAATATAGTATTTCATGAATGAAATTTTATGTCTCCTCCCTTATTATATCTCTATGGTCATGACCAGGGTTGCAAAAAATCATGAACTTTATGAAAAAGTAAAAAAATACCGACTTTTCCCATGAATTCGGACTTTTTTTTAATTAATTCAACATATGGATTATTCAAAATTCCCGCTATTCGAAACAGTTGAGCTACCAATCAACAGAGGTGATGGTGAACATGAAACAATAGGTTGACATCAACTTTGGATATCTAATCGCGATAGAAAATAAGCGTACGCCACCTATCGGAGTTCTTAAAAACTTTCAAAGCGGCATGTTTCTTGTTTGTGCTTATTGTTCATATCATCAGAACGAACAGCTCAGAAGTGTTCAAGTTGCTGCCGTCAGGTGGGGGCGACGTGTTATTTTCTATCGCGAATAAAGAGTAGTTTATCTATGGACTGAACTAATACTCGCCCATCAATCAAACAGAGAACAAAGCTGCTAATAAACTCACCGCACGGCGGACTCTCCGGGCAATCCTCCTCGGCGATCGCCTCGTCCGGCGTCAGCGGCACCGGATACCTAACCTCAAACTCCCCGACGCCGCCGCCGCCCGCCCCGCCCCCGTCCGCCTCGTCCGCCGCCAGGCTGTACGACGAGCCGCCCGTCGACGAGTCGGTGGTGGAGCAGGCGGCGCTGAGCGGGCTGTGGGCGGCCGCCGAGGGCGGGCTGGGCGGGTGGTGCGAGCGCGCCTGCGCCGGGTAGGAGCGGCCGCCCGGGGCGGGGTGGGTGCCCTCGCTGACGGCCCGAGGGCGAGAGGGCATGCTGTCGCACCGCTCGCGACCTGGAACAAGATGAGGTCGGACGTTATTCATTTATTCTGTGGGAAATAATATTTCCACCGTATATTTTTTGTCATGTATACAGTCTGTCCAAGATAAGGTTGAACAGCATGGGGATCTCGAAAACGGTAGGAGATACGAAATCGGTTAAATGGGGAAAAAGTTGCGCATTCGGAGGCTCATATCAAGAGCCTTCGAAAATTTTGAAAATTATTTTTAGTTTTTGAGTTATATCGAAAAAAGTGAATTTTTGGAATTTCTATTTTATTTTTTTTCTCCGTTATTATTAGAGATACAGCAAAACTGAGAATACTTTTTCATAGCAACTTTTGATGACGGTCAACGTGGTGATACCGATTTTTTCATGCGACGTTTCGTATTCGTGGAACCATCATCAACTTTTGTTTTTTAAATACGGTCCTGATATTTTTTTCACAGATTCTAAAAGGTTTTTTATTCTGAATTCAACCATGTATTATACAAGGTGGTTCATTTGTGTTTCGACCTATTTTTGGCCATCATCAATGTTTTTTCGAAACTCCAAAGGAAAAATGCCATCAGTTCCACTTATTTTGAAGGAAAATTAGTCAACACACTAATACCTCATCAACTGGTTTCAATCAACAACCCATTTCATTTTGCGGAAACAAAAATTCCATCCATACAAATTCAGAATATGTCAAGCGCTAAAACCAGGCGATGACGAAAGGCGCAAGACATTCTGTGAGTGGTATACCAGGAAATGTTGAAATTTTGCAGATTTCTTTCGAACAATCATCTGGACTGATGAAAGCATGGTCACTAATCATGGTAGCTTCGATAGAAAAAATACACATTATTGTTCACGAGAAAATGAACATTTATACATTACAGCGAGACACCAACACCGTTTCGGCTTTAATATTTGGGTTGCAATATTTGGTACACGAATTATTGTTCCTTCTATTTACCATGAAACACAGACTTCCGAACGTTATAGAAATTCGCTTGAGAATCATCTTGAGGAAGCTCTGGATGATTTACCGATTGCGGAAGTTCAGAACTCTGTTGGTTTCAACAAGATGGCGCTCCGGTACATAATTCCAGAGAAGTCCGTGCGTTTTTATCCCTTGGCCGGCGCGGTCGCCTGATTTGACACAGCTGGATTTTTTCTTAGGGGATATATCGAACTTTGTACACGCAAATAACTTTGAGGATGAAGAAGAACTAAGGGACAGTGTCTTCGAAGCATTCAATAGAATAACTCCAGAAATGCTTAGCAATGTCTTAGAAACAACTGTGAGAAGAGGATATCTTTGTTCAGAAAATAATGGTTATCATTTTGAACATTTGTTATGAATGTCTCTGTAGGTATTGTCAAAGTTAAGTTGTTAAAGTAATTCGTGTAAGAATTCATCAACAATTTTAAACGCTGCATTGATCGAATGATGTAGTGAAATATTTTTTATTCACTTTTCAGTATTGAATAACTAATCCATCAAGTTTGACACTAAATGATAAGAAATAAGTGGAACTGATGGCTTTTTTTCTTTTGGAAGTTCGAAAAAACATTGATGATGGATAGAAATAGGTCGAAACACATTCGAATCACCTTGTATAGTACATTGTTGAATTCAGAATAAAAAAACCTTTCAGAATCTGTGAGAAAATTATCAGGACCGTATTTAAAAAACAAAAGTTGATGATGGTTCCACGAATACGAAAAGTCGCATAAAAAAATCGGTATCACCACGTTAAACCTCATCAAAAGTTGCAATGAAAAAGTATTTTCAGTTTTGCTGTATCTCTGATAATAACGGAGAAAAAAAAATAAAATAGAAATTCCAAAAATTCACTTTTTTCGATATAACTCAAAAACTAAAAATAATTTTCAAAATTTTTCCCCATTTAAGCGACTTCGTATCTCCTACCGTTTCCGAGATCCCCATGCTGTTCAACCTTATCTTGGACAGACTGTATATATACAGTGTGTCCACCTTAAGGTCTTACCACCCCTGTAGTATAATCGTTATTATCTGATCGATTTTGGTAAACTTTTTTTGTTGAATAGGTATTTGAAATGTCCATCCAACAAAAGAGTAATCTAATTATTGGACTGTTATCGTAGCCAACTGCGACCAATTTTCATTGACTCATATTTCAAAAAGTACTATTAGGGATTTTTTCCACAAAAAATAATGATGGATTCCGAATCAGGATCACTTCAAACATACCTGTACCGATTTCCATCGTCATAAGACACAGGGTGTCCTAAAAAATGAATTATTATTTTTTGAATATTTCATCCAAAAATGCACTATTGCACTATATAAGAGTATAAGAATTTGAGCAATAAAGTTATTATTATTATTATGATTGTCATGAAACTAGAATATATTCACTCCGAAATCGAATTATTCGTCTGAAATGATTGGCCAGTTCTGACAGTAACAGCATCATGAATCTGTACTCCACTAAGAGTGCTGTGGAAACAAAATCTATTATCTTATTTATTAGCTGTCAATTAATTATAGTTCCGTAGTTTATAATGTTTCAAAGCCGTAGAAAAATTGAAAAATGTCATATTCTCTACAGGAAAGAGTGGAATTAATAAGATTAGTTGGTGATGGAAGGTGTACTTTTCGTGAAGCAGAATTCCACAGACGACATCCAGAACGCAATATCAACCATGTTACAGTTGCAAAAATAAACAGATTTTTTGATCAACATGGAACAGTAGAGAGACTCCCAAACCAGCATCGTAACAGAAAAACGAGAGCACATCAAATCATAATTGATTATTTCAATGATTATTTCATTCACACTTGGCTGCACCTATGAAATTTCATGATTGATGTCACATGATATGCGATATCAGCGGCTATTTAGGTAAACAAACAATATGAGCGGCTATCCTGTTCGCCAGCATAAGAGTGCTACGGTTGTCAAACTTTGACACACCTATTAGTCACTCAAAAATTGGAATGTCTCGTTTTGGGTCAACTTCCACACGGAAATCCGTAATTATGTTAGCGAATCATTATCAGAAAATACCGAGAAGAGTAAAGAGTCTGTCTGGAACAATTCATGTTTTTTGCCAGCAGAAAAACTATGAGTTTTGTTGTTGTTTTGTGCGACTACCCCAACTCTCGTGATTGCCCAAATCCTGAAAGATATGGTGAAGAGAATGGTGATGAATATTAGGAATACATATTTGAAATTGATGGAAAACTATACAGGAAAATTACTTCAATGAACATAAACGTAAGATAAATCCATTTGGATATATAGTATTCAAAGGTGTCAGGGATGCGCATAATGCGAAAAAGCGAAGCCTGCCATATTTTCTTCAAACAATAAAGAAAAGTTCAGAAGCACTAACTTCAGATGAGTTGTATTTTTATACTGTTCAAGAAATAATCTTCCTGAATAACACTCGACCCTGACAAATAGAGACTATTATTTTCTTTAATTCATCTCGAGTATCTTGTATTTTGAGACAATTCAATTCGACCATATGAACATTAATAATCATAGAATAACTCCCTCGAGCTGAAGCTAGTGTTCGATGCCGCACCTCCGCACCGGAATATTTGATTTCGATTTTCCATTAAAAAAATTTTGCCCGTTATCTTCGTGGATGTAATTTGGTCAGTGAATTAGCAGTTTGAAAATGGATTTTTCAAAATTCTTTCTTGGAGTGTAGTAGTCGATTTTTATTTTTCATATTTACCACCCTGTATCTCAGAAATGGTTCTACGCCAATGAATTGTTATTTATCATAATTTTCATGTTATTTTGTCCCAATGGTAGAGATACGAAAACAAACAATCTGTTATTATTTGAATGAACTTAAGTATTATATTTGTTTCAGAATTATTTTCAATTTGACACTTTCAGAAGGTACATTTCTTATGGAATTTTTATCTGATCATCTGAAAAGCCATGACATGCAATAAATTTGATTTGTATTCCATTTCCCATTAATAATAGAAATACGTGTTGTTATTATTCGTATTCGACTAATAATAATCCAACTCAGCACTGTTAAACATCACAAAACTGTTTATTGCAAAATCATTATCTAACCTCGAAGGTCAATTGCTTTTTTCACGCGTGTTTGTCATTTTCGTTCATTGAAACACATTGAAGATAGCGAAAAATATGTTTTCATGCTTCTGAAGGGTGTAATTAAAAATACAGAAAACTATAAATACGCGTCAGTTATCCGTTACGATAGTAATAATGGAAACGAATGTATAATAAGAATTTCCGATGGAGACCGGAAATAACTGGAATTGTTCGAATTAACTACTACTACTAAGATTATCACAATGATAGTCCAAAAAAAGCTTCATAGTATTTTACGTGTTCTAAACGTCCATTTAGTAACGAGTGTGTAATGAACGAGTATCTAGAAGAGTTTATAAACGCGTTACATACTATGCTTTTTCTACGAACTCCGAAAATTACATTAACATTAACAACAACAAAAAAAAACAAAAGATACTGAGAGAATGAAAATAGGTGTAAGTATATAATAGTAGCATTAGTAGCTGTAGGTGAGAATGAAAATTTTAAAAAATAACAAAAAAATGTACTGTATATACGCGCATAGCTCAGTACTACTGCAACAAATGTGTTTTTTTTATCTACTCACTGAATCGAAAGTAAGCCTTTGCTTCCTCATTTAAAGAAACAAAGTTGTCAATTTATTCCCACGGGAGGAAATAGTATATTGTGCAACTAGTGGGGAAAGTTCAACAGTTCTCACGAGTGTTTATCCAAAGAATCCAAGTAATGTAACTTATTAGTATTCACTTAATGTGGCACTATGCCACATTGAATATTGTGACCAAAGAGTAGACGCCTTTCCTAGTTCTTCAAAGTAGTCCAAAAAAGTACACTTTCCGAAAAAGATTTTATTTCTGTATTTTTTTAGATTCCATATATTTTTCGTTTATGCCAATTCATCTCGCAATTCATACTTTTTTCATGAAATTTCCGGAAACAAATCCAACTT